CTCTGCCACGCCACCAGCCTCCCGCCAGAGGCCAGGACCACCGACCACAACACTGTCATCGCCGCCCTCAGGTAGATCCATTAGTTAATGCTGGGTACTAGATTGTATGACCAACTTGCTCTCTGACATCGCAACAAATTGTAAACTGATGCCCCTTCAGTTACAGGTGACGATTTGTTAAATAAATTAAATTTTTAGTTATTCATTCTATCCGTCATGCCAATCAATCTTCGTTTTCTTTTGTTCACTCAGTCCTGAGCCGGGCCTGCCTGTCCCCTGGGGGGACTTACACACACCCGCCGCCAAGTACCAATACGCTTCTTTGGTCGGACAGTGGGCGGCGTTGACCACGAACCAGGACCAGTGCAGCCGTGTCTTCCCCTCGTGTCCTCTCCTTCCTGCTGATGTTATCAAAGTCCTGGCTAATAGTCATGTTCCATGTGGTCAAGGTCCTAGCCATTGGTCAAGTCGTATGCGGTCATGATTCTGGTCAATGATCAGGTCCCATATAGTTATGAGTGGTCAATGTTCAGGTCTAATGACGGTACGAATTCCCGGGGAACAGATACTTCCTGTATGTAAATCCATGAAGGTAAAGTTTTGATAAAGAACAACTGCTTGGTCCCTTGTTACAGAGGGGAAGGTTAATGCTGCTGCTGTAAATATGTTAATCAGATGTACAAAAATTCTTACAAAATGACTGCCCTCAACCACAGTACCTGCTTGTATTTCTAATGTACCTTTGTAGGCTTTGGCTTCGCAAAAGGTAATCTATTTTGCAATCTTAAATAAAAAATATTTTGCTGTAGATCGAATATTCGTATTAAAAGATATTGAAGGTTGAAGGAGGATTATATGCTGGTGTAGAGAAGAAAAACAATTATTGCATAAAAGCAATTTACATGTTGTAATTACAGAATTTTAATCTCATTGAACATATTTCTAACAACCTTAAGATACAATAATGCTAGTGACACATCGGAACTGTTACTGATCAATGCATTATAATGAAAGACTTAAAATCTTATACTGTACTCAACACCAGAAAAAAACCCATAAAGTATTGTTTCACATATGGCTTCGTTACCTATATTATCTACTGGGATTTTCACTGTTAAAAGGCAACTCTTGGTTTTAAGTTGACAAAATAAAAAATATACAATTGTTTGCATACTCTTGTTCTCTTAATGTTTACAAGCCTGATCTTTGACTATACTTGTGAACCCATAACTTTCACTAAGATGAATGTCACGCTCAACCTTAAACACTTGGGTGTTCATATATCAGACTCTAGTCCTATGGACTTACTCAATATTAGGTAGGTCTGACAATTTTCAGAGAAGCCATAATGGCGACAATTTCTAATTACAAGTATATATATAGTAAGAGGCTGACATGATTTAGATGTGATAGAAAATTCACAATTAAGTAGACTTGGCTGAACATTTTGATCACAATGAGAAAGGGCAGAGTGCATGAAACTTGTCGCTTCTGGTGTTGCACTCTTTGTGGCTCTGAGTGGCACCGTTGTGTTTTTTAATAATGATTATAAACAGTTAACGATGTTAACGATGTTAAAATAAATGTTTAACATGTTAAAATGCATGATTATTATTATTATTATTATTGATTATATGCGGAAAATCCACAGAGAAATGGGAAAGAGAGATGAACGTTTCGGCCGATCTGGGCCTTTGTCAACACCTGACTGTTGATTATATATTTTATTGATTATATATTTTGGTTAAGTGATGCGTCCCCGCTCCAGGGGGCCGCCTTGTGACGAGGGACGTCAGTACGTCGTCTTCCCATCTGGGAACCCTGGACGCGAGACGCTTCACCTGGGGAGTGTCCCATCTCCCTAAGCAGTCGAGCCTGTAAGCACTTCAAGAGCATGATTAACTTCCGCCTTATTTTTTTTTTTTGTGTAGTCGTTGCCTCTCTTCCTCTCAACCTGGTTCTCGCGTCATGGCACAAATGACATATTGGTGAATCTGAAGGTGTTCAGTCGTGCCTTTTCCACAAATAATTCTGTTGTAGCTGTTATTTTTTCTAGAGAAAGCTATAACACCACAAAGTGATAAAATATATTAGAACGATTGCATTCTCTAGGTCTTCATGCAATTTAACACTTATCCTTCAAAGCTTCCTCTCAAGTCGTACGTTTCAAATTCACCTTGGGATTGTTCTCACAGCTTATCATCACCAAGATGAAGGCGTTCCCAAGGAGGTATATTAATATAACATTACGCTCTTTGTCGTTGCCCTCATCGGTCTCCTTCCTGCCTGGACCTCACTCTGCGCTTGATGGGAACGGTTTCTCCATTTGCTGATGTGGCAAATGGTGTGGCTTTCTCTCGTCAGCGTCGGCTCCAGCTTCCACGAGATAACATTGTCATCCTGGGCTACCAGTATGTCTTCTGACTCTTCTACGTCGAAAACTTGTGCTATGACTTGCTAGACGGCGCGACACCTTGTGTATAGTGTGAAGGTTTTGAGGCTGATCTCTGGCGCCCGCCTGTTTTGGTCCTTTGTTCAAAACAGGCGGGCTCTGTGTCCTTTGTCTGGAGTAAGTGCTTCAAGGCCCTTTCCTTACTTAGTCTTGTCACATATTGGGGAGCAGATTGACGAACACACATTTACTTCCATTATTCCCTAGTTCTGTCTAAACTAGTCTACTGAAGGCTCTGGATCCTCCAGTTCTTCCCCAGTCAAGTTTGTACGTGGAAGCCGATATTCCGTCATTGGTAAATTGTCGTAATTGGCACTTCCTGTGATGCTTTAAGCGATCCCTCCTATACCCTGTTTCCAGTTTGTGCTGTATCTTAACTGTTCCCTCCCCCCCCCCCCGGTCGGGAACCGGTCGGTCGAGCGGACAGCACGCCGGACTTGTGATCCTGTGGTCCTGGGTTCGATCCCAGGCGCCGGCGAGAAACAATGGGCAGAGTTTCTTTCACCCTATGCCCCTGTTACCTAGCAGTAAAATAGGTACCTGGGTGTTAGTCAGCTGTCACGGGCTGCTTCCTGGGGGTGGAGGCCTGGTCGAAGACCGGGCCGCGGGGACACTAAAGCCCCGAATCATCTCAAGATAACCTCAAGATAACCCCCCCCCCCGGTTGCAAGTCCGGTTTCCTCTACCTTGCGTTCTTTTATTGCAAGGATTGCACGATTGGAAGATTCTTAGCACACATCCGCAGTATGTCCCCCCCCTCTCTCTCTCTTCCCACCTTGTCCACGTGGAGAACTCCATTTCTAAAGTTTTGCATGACTCTCATTAATATGATAAAAGCCTTATACTCCTTCTGTGGTTGATTGTTCAATAAACCCTTGAACTATATGTTTAACACATCTCTAACCCTGTCCATGGAGGACAGAAGAAAATGTATATATATGCTGGTTAGCATTGTAAATGTGTGGCCACGTCTGTGGTAGAAAATAATAATAATAATAAAAAACTCCTTCGATGGTCATGAGATGTATTTTTCTTAAATATTTTCACCGTCCCTTACGCTTTGCTTGCGGATAGTTCAAACTCTGGCTATGGCGTTGGCGACTAATTTCTCTCCTGATCAAACCTGTGTTTACCCACATCTTCTTGAGTTCCCCCTCCTGTGAGTGTCACGACGTCTGAAATAAAATCAGGCATGTGTTGTCCGTAGATTATGACGTTCACGTTCATGGATTACTCTAGAACTATGAACGTGAAATCATTTGGGTTGGGGGAGAAAGGTGGATAGGGGGAAGAGGAGGGAGGGGGTGATAAGGAGAGGAGGATAGTGAGGGCGAGGAAAGGAGAGACGGGTGGAGAAGAGTGCGGGAGGAAGGTGGAGAGGTGGGACAATCGGGGGAGATAGGGACAGAGGGGTGGAGAGAGGGGGGATAGGGGAAAAGAGATGAGGGAGAGGGAGATTGGAAGAGAGGGAAGAGAGACCCGGGAGAAGCCGGTTTACATCTGGTGTGTGTGTGTGTTATACACTTATGTGTATATACACACACATCCACACACCTGATGCCTCTGTTCACCTAACAGTCATTAATAAAATCACCAATGTTTAGGAATAATATGTTCATCTCCCAATGTTCTGAACTAGTTATGATAATACTAATTTAGGAATCATGGAATATTCACACAGAGAGGTGTATACTGCTTCTCGGTGTATGTGTATACCGCTTGTTGGTGTACACATACACCGAGTTTGCTTTAATCTTGAACTATGTTGATGACTGTTAGTATACCTGCTGGTTGATGAGCAAGATAATGTCATGCAGCCATGCAGTTGTTAAGATTTAAGCCCAACAAGAAACTATTTATGGAGGCTTTTAACCTCCATAGGCTAAATGTTCTCTATTAACAGTCTTGGGGCCTCTTGAAATAGAACAGTCTTGCCCCAGCTGAAAAAGAACAGTCTTGCCCCAGCTGAAAAAGAACAGTCTTGCCCCACCTGAAATAGAACAGTCTTGGGCCTCTTGAAATAGAACAGTCTTGGACCTCTTGAAATAGAACAGTCTTGCCCCACCTGAAATAGAACAGTCTTGCCCCACCTGAAATAGAACAGTCTTGCCCCACCTGAAATAGAACAGTCTTGCCCCACCTGAAATAGAACAGTCTTGCCCCACCTGAAATAGAACAGTCTTGCCCCACCTGAAATACAACAGTCTTGCCCCACCTGAAATAGAACAGTCTTGCCCCACCTGAAATAGAACAGTCTTGCCCCACCTGAAATAGAACAGTCTTGCCCCACCTGAAATAGAACAGTCTTGCCCCACCTGAAATACAACAGTCTTGCCCCACCTGAAATAGAACAGTCTTGCCCCACCTGAAATAGAACAGTCTTGCCCCACCTGAAATACAACAGTCTTGCCCCACCTGAAATAGAACAGTCTTGCCCCACCTGAAATAGAACAGTCTTGCCCCACCTGAAATAGAACAGTCTTGGGCCTCTTGAAAGGAAACCTGTAACACAATTCTTCACTAAGGATGGCAATAGAGAAACTCCAGCTTACAAACCATATGTACATTTATTTCACAGTCTCACTAAACATTGTCACAGATTGTTACAGTCTATCGTGAGGAGAGAAGAGACAAACGGTCGAGCTGCGACTTTATACAACACTCGACACAATCATTACTGAACGTCAAGGATAAAACTGTTCAGTTTTGTTCTATTTACTGCTAAAAAAAAATTGCGTCCGTTCTTTCCCCTATTTGATTATGTGAATATAAACTAATTCTCTGGCCTAGCAAGAGCGGTGAGCGCCATCTATTGGAGCAGGAAGGAAGTGTCTGATAGGTTATCAATGCCAGGATGTGATTGGAAAAATATATATATACACACAGAGTCTTCAGCAAAGCATAGAAGACTTGTATGTGCTTGTAAGAAAAAAAAATGGGTATTTGCTGTAAATACAATCCGTAAAGACACGCCATTTATAATAAATAATACGATCACGTATTTGAGGCTGCAGTAACTTTTAAAGTATTGGAACCCCAAGATGAAGACATTGATCCCTTTGCGAGCGCGTCAGTCTTCACAAGAGCGGAGACAACCACAGCAACAGAGTGAAAACGTCATTAATACTTGTATCACATATCAATTACATCTGAAATATTTTATGGAAAACTCAAATAATAAAAATTTGATTAGGATTTTTTTGTTTAATATAATTTGAATAATATATATATATATATATTTATACGTACATGTATGTATTTAGGATAAGTATTCAGTGCCTACTTTGGTGACGCCAAATTGTATTCAGAACCGACTTTGATGACGTCAATTTGTGCCCGGAACCTACTTTGGTGACGCCAGTTTGTGTTTAGAGCCTATTTTCGTGATCCCAAATTGTGTTCAGAGCCTACTTTGGTGATCCCAAATTGTGTTCAGAGCCTACTTTGGTGATCCCAAATTGTGTTCAGAGCCTACTTTGGTGATCCCAAATTGTGTTCAGAACCTACTTTGGTGATCCCAAATTGTGTTCAGAACCTACTTTGGTGATCCCAAATTGTGTTCAGAACCTACTTTGATGATCCCAAATTGTGTTCAGAACCTACTTTGGTGATCCCAAATTGTGTTCAGAGCCTATTTTCGTGATCCCAAATTGTGTTCAGAACCTATTTTCGTGATCCCAAATTGTGTTCAGAACCTACTTTGGTGATCCCAAATTGTGTTCAGAGCCTACTGTCGTGATCCCAAATTGTGTTCAGAACCTATTTTCGTGGCACCAACATATTGCCAGATATTTCTTATTATTTGATGAGATTTCTTTTCAGAAATGGGATGAATGAATGACAGGACTTAGGCAACACAGTATAATTTACCAGTCTGAATTAAAATGATATAAAGTAATATTCAAATGAAAAGAACACTGGCTAATGGTTGGTTATAGCACACACGCACTCATACATGATGGAGTGCCTTCACAAGCACTCATACATGATGGAGTGCCTTCACAAGCACTCATACATGATGGAGTGCCTTCACAAGCACTCATACATGATGGAGTGCCTTCACAAGCACTCATACATGATGGAGTGCCTTCACAAGCACTCATACATGATGGAGTGCCTTCACAAGCACTCATACATGATGGAGTGCCTTCACAAGCACTCATACATGATGGAGTGTCTTCACAAGCACTCATACATGATGGAGTGCCTTCACAAGCACTCATACATGATGGAGTGCCTTCACAAGCACTCATACATGATGGAGTGCCTTCACAAGCACTCATACATGATGGAGTGTCTTCACAAGCACTCATACATGATGGAGTGTCTTCACAAGCACTCATACATGATGGAGTGCCTTCACAAGCACTCATACATGATGGAGTGCCTTCACAAGCACTCATACATGATGGAGTGCCTTCACAAGCACTCATACATGATGGAGTGCCTCCACAAGCACTCATACATGATGGAGTGCCTTCACAAGCACTCATACATGATGGAGTGCCTTCACAAGCACTCATACATGATGGAGTGCCTTCACAAGCACTCATACATGATGGAGTGCCTTCACAAGCACTCATACATGATGGAGTGCCTTCACAAGCACTCATACATGATGGAGTGCCTTCACAAGCACTCATACATGATGGAGTGCCTTCACAAGCACTCATACATGATGGAGTGCCTTCACAAGCACTCATACATGATGGAGTGCCTTCACAAGCACTCATACATGATGGAGTGCCTTCACAAGCACTCATACATGATGGAGTGCCTCCACAAGCACTCCTACACGGTTGAGTGCCTCCACAAGCCCTCCTACACGGTTGAGTGCCTCCACAAGCCCTCCTACACGGTTGAGTGCCTCCACAAGCCCTCCTACACGGTTGAGTGCCTCCACAAGCACTCATACACGGCTGAGTGCCTCCACAAGCACTCCTACACGGTTGAGTGCCTCCACAAGCACTCATACACGGTTGAGTGCCTCCACAAGCACTCCTACACGGTTGAGTGCCTCCACAAGCACTCCTACACGACTGAGTGCCTCCACAAGCCCTCCTACACGGCTGAGTGCCTCCACAAGCCCTCCTACACGGCTGAGGGCCTCCACGAGCACCCACACAGGTTTTAAACACATTAAGCCTGTCAAGTATTCTTTCAAATGACTAATAATCTTAATAGAATAATGGTCTAGTAACAATGAAATCCCCATTGGTCCACGACACCACTTTCATATCTCTTTCCAGGCTGTGTATTGACCTCTAGGAACATTATCTCCATAATCCTTCCCCATCAACCCGCCCCTCGTGATAAATCCCACCCCCCCTTCCCATTAAATCCTCTCCTGTTAAATCCCCCCCCCCTCCCCCATTAGTTCTCTATCATTACCTCATACTATCAAAATAATCTATTCCTGGCACCGGGAAGGGAATCACAATGTTTTGCTTTCTTCTGTTTAATATTCCGGGGTGGTGTAGAGGCGCTGAGGGCGGCGTAGGCAGCCTCGGGAGGTCCTCCGGCACGCCCAGCATCTCACGGTCTTCTAACGCGCTAATTATTTTTTGTGCGTTTTTTCCGGGTTTTAGTGTTCACCGTCGCGCGGGGTTGGGGATGGCGTTCTCGCAGCCTGGGACGTTCTCCGGCCAGTCGCAGACGTTCTGAGCGGAGTTGAAGACGAGGTTGACGGGGCAGGGCATGTGGTGCTTCCTCTCCCCTTCACACATGAAGTATCGGGTACAGTCGGCCTTGTCCTCGTGGTAGCTGATGTGGCCGTCCGCCTCGTCGCAGGTTATCACCGTGGCTGTGAGAGGCAGAGATGGGTGTCAGGGTGACAGACTCGGACAGGAGGGTGTGAGGGTGACAGGCTCGGACAGGAAGGTGTGAGGGTGACAGGCTCGGACAGGAGGGTGTGAGGGTGACAGGCTCGGACAGGAGGGTGTGAGGGTGAGAGGCTCGGACAGGAGGGTGTGAGGGTGACAGGCTCGGACAGGAGGGTGTGAGGGTGACAGGCTCGGACAGGAAGGTGTGAGGGTGACAGGCTCGGACAGGAAGGTGTGAGGGTGACAGGCTCGGACAGGAGGGTGTGAGGGTGAGAGGCTCGGACAGTGGGCCAGCAAGAGGTAGAATGCGCCACTGGTAGATGAGCACAGTGGGTGAGGGACAGTGGTGGAAGTGTGAGTTAAGGAAAATAGAGACTGAAGACTTGAGTGAGACCCAGGACCTATGTACCGAGGATGAGTATCCAGGCGAAAACCATCAAGCCGTGTAACACATCAAGAAACATAGCCAGGAATCATCAGACATTCACCGCAACTACTGACGAAACCTGTACATCTTTCCTCAAACATGGCGGCTTTGCTTACATTTATTAAACAGTTTATGAGCTCCGAAGTTCTACGAGCATGTAATGTTTCAAAGCCTATTAACTGTCAAATAAATGTACACCAAACCGGCATTATTGTTAAAAGATATACATGTTTCGTAAGGGAATGCGTAAATGTTTGTTGAATCGTGGTCTTAATATGAGACAATCAAATCAGCAGCTATAAGCAGGTATTGAGAAAGTTCCCAGCAATGAATCGGCAACACATAACATAACTTTAACAGTAACTGTTCATCTATATGACTCAAACACAGGTGTTGGCACTTACGGTCACGCTTGGCACTGGTGCCGTCGAGAGTGCCAGTGTTCTCGTAGGGTCCCTCGTAGGTGAGGGCGACGGTGTAGTTGGAGAGAGCCTGGGTGAGGGTGCTGAGGAGCGGGTACTTGCCGGCGCCACAGTTCCCCCTGAAGTCGTCCATGTCCACACTCCACACCATCACTCCCCCGAGCCCCTCCGTCTTCAGCCAGTCACCCTGACGGAGGCACACAACACACTTAGTATACACTCACAACCTTATGCACAGTCCCTAAATATAACTAGACTGATAATGATCAGAAAATAAGAGAGATGAGAGTGATTTGAACACAATCTTCCGGGTAATATGATACATACAATCGCTGGATTGTTTCAAGCTATATGAATGAGTTTGGGTGGATCTAAATATGAGCTGCTTAGTATGGGAGAATATTGAATTGAACTATCAGGGGGGGGGGAAAGCGCCAAGCCATTACGACTATATAGCACTTGGAAGGGGTCAGGATTAGGATTTGGGATGGGCCGGGGGAAAGGAATGGGGCCCAACCACTTGGACGGTCGGGGTATGGGAGAATAGAATTTCTATATTTTCATGAATTATGTTGTTATGACGTTCTAAAAGACTGACCTTGACAGCCAGGGACCTCTCGTCGTCGAAGCCAAGCCATTGGTCGCCCCGGTAAGCGAAGGGCACCTGCTGCTCGTTGTCCCACACCAACGTTGTGTTCTCCTCGAACAGGAACTCACACACCTGGGGAAAGTACCACGTTGAATTGGTTAGTATCACACCCACACCCACACACACACACACACACACACACACACACACACACACACACACACACACACACACCCACACACACACAGACTCATACACCAACCTACACCCATATACACCCTCCCACCCTCCTTGAAACACAACCAGTCTCGAACCTCGTAGTAGGCCATGAAGCCTTCTTCTTGGGTGTAGCGGGCTTCGTGGCCACCCCCGACGACCTCTGACCCGATGTCGAACTTGGTCATGTTCTGGAGGGTGAAGGAACGGCCGTAGGTGGGCATCCCGACCATGATCTTCTGCGCCGGTGCCCCCTGCTTCTTCCACTCTCTCACGCTGTAGTCCTGTATAAACACAAGGGTGGTCCTGTCAACACAAGGGTGGTCCTGTACAATGATGGTCACCTTTAACATGTGAGCCTGTGAGTTTACCTTCGTATCCCCTCCCCTCCTACCCCCTCACCCCCCCCCCTGCACACATACGTACAAAATTTGCACATTGGTTCAAGGAAAAAGTTCCACGTGTTGTATCAGTGTCTTTCAAAACTGCATTAAAAATTGCAACGACCTAACTTACCTTCTCCTAAACATGTCATAAGAAATGCAAAGTCTAAAACATGATATCTTAAGCCAAACACGTAGAATATATGCAATATGCTAGGTCGTAGGAGAGACTGAGTTGGGTACAAACGGTTCAAGTTTTGTACATGTTTCCATAGTAGTTATTTGCACTATAATTGTTCAAGGACACATTATACACACCAAAAAAAATCTCTTAGAAAAAGTTCGACTTGGAACAACAGTGTAAGCAAGAAATAAATACCAATCAACAAAAAAACAAAATAACCAAAAGACCCATCATTGGATAAGGTCACATTTTAGGACCTGGGTAAATACTGGTTCAGAAACATGTTGGTTGATCTATGGAACAAACTACCTGGCAACATAACTAACATGCTCTTTACTCTACAGATTTAAGCGTAGGGTTAGAAATATTTCCACAGCTCCGCTCAAACTCATACACATGATGACCAGCCCACACACTAGAAGGTGAAGGGACGACGACGTTTCGGTCCGTCCTGGACCATTCTCAAGTCGATTGTCGACCATCGCCTCCTTACATATGAGTTTGAATACTAATAGAACCCACCTCGTATAAGCCAATACAGGCCTTCAGCTTCCTGATTCTTAGGTTATCACAACTAAGGCAACACCGAGTACTTACGACAGTGAGTTTCTTCTGGTAGGAGGAGGCTGTCTCCAGGGGCAGGAGCGGGGCGTTGTGTCCCACAACGTTCTCCCACTGACCGTGGAAGTCGTAAGACATGATGTTGATGAAGTCAAGGAACTTGCTGATCTCCGGCACGTCGTATCTGCAACATGCAGTTGCCAGTTATTACCAAGTTACTCGCTGTTTTATAGTTACTTCTTAGTTACTGGTTGGCTTCTGCTTGCTAGTTACTCACTAATAGTTAATAGTTGCTTAGTAGTTAATAGTTGCTTAGTAGTTACCAGTTACTAGTAGTTACTGGCTATGTAACTGTTGCCAGCTATTCATTAGTAGCTACCAGTTATTAGTAGTTACTAGTTACTCTTGTTATCAGTAATAGCTCGTTCACCACACACTGACATGCTAATTGCTATCTTTCCTTGCATTATATATCCGTCGTACACACACACACACACACGCACACACGCGCACACACACACACACACACACACACACACACACACACACACACACACACACACACACACACACACACACACACACACACACACACATTGCCGGTGGGTGTACATTATCTCGGTGGGGGGCCTGGTAGTCTGGTGGATAGCGCGCAGGACTCGTAATTCTGTGGCGCGGGTTCGATTCCCCCCAGTCAGACACAAATGGGCAAAGTTTCTTTCACCCTGAATGCCCCTGTTACCTAGCAGTTAATAGGTACCTGGGAGTTAGTCAGCTGTCACGGGCTGCTTCCTGGGGTGTGTGTGTGGTGTAGAAAAAAAAGTAGTTAGTAAACAGTTGATTGACAGTTGAGAGGCGGGCCGAAAGAGCAGAGCTCAACCCCCGCAAACACAACTAGGTGAATACAACTAGGTGAATACACACACACACACACACACACACACACACCGTTGACAGTTAAGAGGCGGGACCGAAAAGCCGAAGCTCAACCCCCACAAGCACAACTAGTTGAGTACACAATATCAAATGATTCCGTTGATTTACTCACTATTTCCTCAGCTCTACTCTGCTTTGTTCATTGAATACAGCACAGCTGAAGTCTAATTATGTTCATCAGTGTATCTATACATCTGTGATTCGTTCCTGAGTGATACAGGTACGCAGTTCCGAATCAGAAGTGGGAAAACACAAGTTACATAGTACACGAGACGGGTCACTAACGGGGGCTTAAAAGTTACCTAACCTGATCTATCCTAACCCAGCTCAAACTCAATCTAATATAACCCAACCGAGTCTTGCAGCTCATAGTCTAGGCTAATACATTCTAGCCTAACAGTATATATGGTTTGGACAATCAGAAAGCCTGGGTAAATACTGGTTCAGAAACATGGTCCCTTTAACCAAAAGGGACACGAGACTATTCTTCCAACTTAGATGTAACCTAGAACCATTCTGTATAATCTGTAATACGCAGGTAAACTTTCTAAACAACTTGAAATTTGCATCTACCTTCATTAACTTGTAACTTCCAATTACCCTTTCTAAGACACTTGCAACTAATAGCTACCATTTCTAACAAACTTCTAACATGTAGCTATCGTTACTAACTTGTATCCCACAGCTATAATGTTTGGCCAACTCCCGTCACACGACCCACTCCCACCTCTGAAATATCTCGGCAAGTCTTGGAAAATTTTTACAACCACTTGTTTATGTCCTCAACATAAAATCCTTAACAATCTAACAAAAAATTTAAGCCAATTTTAGCTATTCAACATCACTCACGATTATCTCTTCCAAGTGCTACATAGTCGTACTGGCTTACCGCTACCTCCTGTTAATTATCCTAATTACTTCATTGTAGTTTAGCTAGATCTTCGAAGATCTGCATGGGTTAAGCCAGATCTTCGCGCACAAAAGAGTCGTAAAGTGCAGGCGATGAGTCACAATAACGTGGCTGAAGTAATTTGACCAGATCACACACTAGAAGGTGAAGGGACGACGACGTTTCGGTCCGTCCTGGACCATTCTCAAGTCGATTGTGACCGCACAAAGCGCACAATCGACTTGAGAATGGTCCAGGACGGACCGAAACGTCGTCGACCCTTCACCTTCTAGTGTGTGGTCTGGTCAAAGTCGTAGAGTGGTATCCATTAGACGCCTACACTTATTCTCTCCAGATGCAAAGTTAGCAGCATCTACTCCTGTATAGAGGAGGGTCCACGTACCCAGCAGCGAGTGCCTCAAAGGACGCAGGGACGGCGGCGGAGAGCAGCAGCCGGGCGTTGCCTGTTGATTTGGCTTCTCCTTCGAAGGCCAGGCGGAGTTCCTTCAGGAAGTTGACGTAGTTCGCCTTGTCGTCGGGGCCTCGAGGGTACTGGTGGCAGAGGTGGTGGTCGTGTTATTCTTTGGCGGAGGCAAATGTCTAGTGTTTACTGTGTGACTGAGCAGGAGTAGAGAGGAGAGTGCGGGATGGTTTCACCGTGTTTGAGTAGAAAATGAGGGAGAGGAGGGAGGCATATCAGGGGGAAAGCGCCAAGCTATTACGACTATATAGAACTTGGAAGATGTCAGAATAAGGATTGGGGGATGGGACGGGGGAATAGAATGGTGCCCAACCACTTGAACGGTCGGGGATTGAGCCGACCTGCCAAGTGGTGAGTCAAAGTGAATTACTTTTTGGCAGGAAAAGGTAAGGGCAATTATCAAGAGAAGATGCTGTGTCATTTTGACTATATAGAACTATATAAAGGCTGTGAGGAGAGGATAGCAGCAAGGATAAGGACGGAGTGAAGGAACGGTGATCCACCATTTAGAAAATCGAACACTAACTTGCAAGAAGTGAAGAGTCTTTCTACCGACCAATCTAACTGAAGGGATAGGAAAGAGTCGTAATAATAATAGAGATGTAAACTATTGAGCGTGAAGGTTGACACAAAGAGAGGGTAACAAGGGGCGTCAGGACCCAGCCTCACCTCCCAGTCGATGTCAAGGCCGTCAAACTCGTGCAGACGGAGGAACTCGAGAGCGTCGTAGACGAAACCGTTCATCCTGAACTGGTTGGACACCAGGTCCCTGAAAGGCTTGGACCCAAACGCCCACCCGCCAAGGGCCAGCATCACCTGGGGGCAGAACACGGGCGTCAAGGAAGGCTTCCAGTGTAATCTTGGCTCTCAAGAAACTCCTTTATTATGATCTACTTCTTGACCTCCAGATCTTATACTTTGTCATAAATGTGACAGAATTATTGATCTACACAAATCTTCCTTTATACCTAACATCATGACCTAACACTTGACCCCATACGTGACCTTACACTTGACCCCATACATGACCTCACACTCGACCCCATACATGACCTCACACTCGACCCCATACATGATCTCACACTTGACCCACATACATGACCTAACACTTGACCCCATACATGACCTAACACTTGACCCCATACATGACCTTACACTTGACCCCATACATGACCTCACACTCGACCCCATACATGACCTCACACTCGACCCCATACATGACCTCACACTTGACCCACATACATGACCTAACACTTGACCCCATACATGACCTCACACTTGACCCCATACATGACCTCACACTTGACCCACATACATGACCTAACACTTGACCCCATACATAACCTCACACTTGACCCCATACATGACCTAACACTTGACCCCATACATGACCTAACACTTGACCCCATACATGACCTAACACTTGACCCCATACATAACTTCACACTCGACCCCATACATAACCTCACACTTGACCCCCAAACATGACCTCCCACTCGACCACTTATCCTCATGAGAACACTGAACCCAATCTTTATCTTCAAGATCTTACACTTCACTAATCTTCCTACTTCGTGTATACCTTAAGGGCGGGATTCTTCTCCTTGAGTTTGATCAGCCTGGTGTATGTTCCCTCCTTGAAGCCGTCGCCGAGGTCTGTGGGATCCCCAGGAGCCAGGCGGTAGTCCTCCATCCCAGCGAAGGCGTAGATGACGTGAGTACACAGGAATGGATCAATGTTCTCAGGTTCGAATCTTCCCGCGCCAGGCCGCTTCACTGCCCAGGACGTGTAGTAGCAGAGGACTTTGGGGGCGTCTCCTGTGGGTTGACGCGGAGGGCGGTTAGTGTGTGTGTGTGTGGAGCGAAGTATCTTATAATACGTGGAGGACAAACACGGACACGTGAATATCAGCAACAGCTAAAAGATTACGATTAACTATTAAAAAAAAAGAGGACTGGATCGAAAACGGTTCTAAACATCAGGGCCGATATAGAAAACGATTCTAAACATCAGGGCCGATATAGAAACGGTTCTAAACATCAGGGTCGATATAGAAAACTATTCTAAACATCAGGGCCGAGATAGAAAACTTCCAAAACATCAGGATAACTAATGTAAAACTGTCATGACCATATATCAGCCGGAACGGAACCCCTCGAAACACAAAACAACCTCAAGACCAACTCACTTGGGGTGGAGGGAATGATGTCGATCCTGGGAGAGGCCTCGATGGTCTGCCTGGCCAGGGTGTTCTTGATGAGCGCCATAGGGTCGATGGCGATGGGGGGCGGCAGCGTGGTCCTGGTGGCTATGGAGACGCGGGTCACCGCCGCCCAGTCCACGTCCCGGCCGCCGCGCGGGACACCCATCATCTCCTCTCTGTCGACGCCACACACACACACACGTCAGCTTGTGTACTTAAACTCCAACACATGTTTTATCTCCTGCAGGTCTTTATGATTTGATTTATTTCATGGGGATTGGTGTTACATTTGGGAATGGGTGGTAGAGAGGACATAAGGTGGAGGGTGTTAAGAATGGTTGAGAGTGTGGGTGTTAGAATGGTAGAGGGTGTTAGAATGGTAGAGAGTGTGGGTGTTAGAATGGTAGAGGGTGTTAGAATGGTAGTGGGTGCTAGAATGGTAGTCGGTGTTAGAATGGTAGAGGGTGTGGGTGTTAGAAAAAGATAAATTATTAGAAAGAGTGGGAGTTGGAACAGAGACAACAAAGTGGAAGAAGGACTCATTTTAAAATGGAATACCAATAATAATAAGTAGTAGAAAGAGAAGATTTTTAGATAGGAAGATTAGAAATACGTTTGGTTTCGAGGAAACCAAACTGGAGGAATGAAATGGATGGTGTGAGGGACGACATGTTAGAGGGACGTCAGCGACCATCATAGTGGTAAGACACTTACGCTTCCAGTAACCATTCACATATATACTCTAGTATTATTGTCATTCCTGAGCCCCTCAACTCACATGAGGGGGAACATTTGACCTCCCTCATAAACACCTACCTCATGATACCCATAAGGGGGTACTTGACCCCCTCCCCACATATGGATCCGGTGAAGTCATCCATGTCAATGGTCCAGACCATGGCGCCCCCGAAGCCGTTCTTCTTAATCCACTGCATCTTATTCCGGATGGCCCGCTCGTCGTCGAAGCCCACCCAGAGGTTGTCCTTCACCATGTACGGCACCTGCATCTCTTCGTGCCACACGTACTCCCCTCCGGTCTGCAGGTGCTCGCACACCTGTGCAAGGATACGAAGGAACGTTATTATTCAACTGCACATGTCTCCGGTGCGGCCCCTTCTGCTCTACTGAATCCCAGCCCGGAGACCTCGCACCAGGAACTGGTGAGAGCCACACGACTAACAACACTGCAAACCTGACATGACTGGGCTGATCTCATCGAGACCTTTAAAATATTGAATATGTTGGAGGATATAAAACCAAAAGTGACCACGGTTTTAAATGGTCAAAAGTAACACATACAAGGGGCAACAGCTTCAAGCTCAACAAGCCACAATGCAGGACAGAATACTGATGATCCATTGCCACTCACATGCTTATAATCCCATAAAACGGCCTACCCGCAAAGGCCATAAATTACTTCAGTTCAAAATGAAATTGGAAAAAATCCTTGGCAACTATGGGAACATTTGACAAGCCGTCGGCTCCCAGTCTCGACGAGGCCACTAGATATATCGTGACCCTCAGGTAAATAACACAAGGGGCAAGGAAGGGGGGGGCATTAAAAGCGTTCATCGGAGAGAGAATAATGGGGGAAGGGGAGGAAGGGGAAAGGAAAATAATGGGGAGGTAGATGGGTAGGGAGTGGGTAAGGGGGGGGGGTGTGATAACGGAGGAAATAATGGTGGTCTGTTCACCTGGTCGTGTCAGTACCAGAATGGAGTTAATCACTGTTATTGTCATTTTCAGCAGCAATGTTTACACCACTTGAGTGTAAACATTGACCCCCTCTGTCACTACAACAAACATTTCTATTATTAGAACTGTAATATTTATTACTTTTATTATAATTAGATTATATTAATTCGCTTGAGAAAATCATTGGAGCAGGAAGGACATCGAACCAGCGTCCCGGGTAACACCAGTACCCGTAAGACACGACATGTTCTGTCGTGAGTAGGCATGTAGTCACCAACTAGATGAGTACATGCTAAAGGTTATTAAACCTGGGACGGAGTCCACTAGGAAGTCTGGACCTCCTAGTGAACTCCGCAGGGTATCTGGTCGTGGCCTAGCGGGTATGGCGCGCGTCTGGTCTTACCCAGGATGATGGTTCGATCCCCCCTTCCTGCCCCACTGATTTTCTCATGGATACATCATGGCGATTTCCTTCTGTATTCTTTTAAGCATTTATAATTATTTTTGTTAATACTTACTGATAATATTGTGTAGCCTGTTCTCGCGTCATGTCAGTAGTACAAAATAACATTTAAGATACAGTGTCAGCCAAGTTTTGTACTTGGGTTTGAAGCCTGAAAACTGTACTTTTTTCCTATATACAGCATATACACTAAGAGCTACACCTCGCTTCTCAGTGCATGTTGTTGTTGTTGTTTTAGATTCAGCTACTTAGAACAAAAGTTTCAAAGTAGCACCGCCTATGGTGAGCCCGTAGTGGTCTTACCTGGCACAGGAGCGGGGTTGTAACTGTCAGTGTATGTATACAGAGACTTTATATATGCTTTAAGCCTGACACCAACCCCCCTCCCCCCTCCCAGACTCAGGACCCCTGGCTTCCCCACCCCAGACCCAGGACCCCAGGCTCCCCCCAAGACCCAGGACCCCAGGCTCCCCCCATGACCCAGGACCCCAGGCTCCCCCCCCAGACCCAGGACCCCAGGCTCCCCCCATGACCCAGGACCCCAGGCTCCCCCCTACCCCAGACCCAGGACCCCAGGCTCCCCCCCCCCCATTACCACCTCTACCCATCCACTCACCTCATAGTAAGCCATAAAGCCGCCCTCGTTGGTGTACTTGCCGGCCTCGCCGCCACCGCTTGCCGGGGAGTTGACGGCGTTGCGGGCGGGGTCAGAGAGCGTGAAGGTCCGCCCGTAGGTGGGCATCCCGATGATCAACTTCTCCTTGGGCGCTCCTAGCTTGACCCACCTGTGGCACACAGAGACACGAGGTGAACTGGGGTGTGGGGGTGAACAGGGCTATGGGGGTGAACTGGGGGTGTGGGGGTGAACTGGGGTGTGGGGGGTGAACTGGGGTGTGGGGGGTGAACTGGGGGTGTGGGGGGTGAACTGGGGGTGTGGGGGTGAACTGGGGTGTGGGGGGTGAACTGGGGGTGTGGGGGGTGAACTGGGGTGTGGGGGGTGAACTGGGGTGTGGGGGTGAACAGGGCTGTGGGGGTGAACTGGGGGTGTGGGGGGTGAACTGGGGTGTGGGGGGTGAACTGGGGGTGTGGGGGGTGAACTGGGGGTGTGGGGGTGAACTGGGGGTGTGAGGGGTGAACTGGGCTGTGCTAAAGTACTGGTACAACAGCTATGGGTATGAATACAGTGGCAAAAGTCATCATACAACAGCTCTCTGTACTGTATATCAAACACCACAAACATACAGAAGTGACTCGGTGTATTGTTAAATAATTACACAGGAAGTAACACTTGCATTATACATTATACATTATGCTTATAATTAGTAATTATAAGGAGGAATTGCTAAGTCAGTATATCGCTCAAGGAGCCGGAATATGAGGACAAGGAGCTGGGACATGAGGAGAAGAAGCTGGGATATGAGAAGAAGAAGCTGGGATATGAGGAAAAGGAGCTGGGATATGAAGACAAGGAGCTGGAATATGAAGAAAAGGAGCTGGGATATGAGGAAAAGGAGCTGGGAAATGAGGACAAGGAGCCGGGATATAAGGACAATGAGCTAGGATATGAGGAAAAGGAGCTGGGATATGAGAACAAAAAGCCGGGATATGAGGACAAGGAGCTGGGATATGAGGAAAGAGTAACGAAGCAGAACCCAACTAATACACCATTGGCGATTGACCGATGACCTCACGTATAGTAAGGCCATCGCTGTATCGACCAATAAGGAAAACAAATGGTGATCTAACAGTGAAGGAGGTACTGACAGGTTGGAGGCGTGGTCGACGGAGAGCTGCTTCCTCCACTCGGAGTCGTCGGACGGGGCGTAGAGCGGGGCGTTGTGGCCTACGGTGTTCTCCCACTTGCCGTGGAAGTCGTAGGCCATCACGTTGATGAAGTCCAGGTACCTGTTGGTGGGCGGAGGTGATGAGGAGACTTGTAGGGGGGGGGGCGAGGGAGGTGGGAGGAGACTGTAATGTCATATTAGGAAGAGCTGCAGGTGGGTGGGGGATGGTTGGAAACAGCTCTAGATGGGTAGGAAAGGCTAGAAACAGCTCTAAATGGTCAGGGAAGGCTGGAAACAGCTCTAAATGGGCAGGGAAGGCTGGAAACAGCTCTAAATGGGCAGGGAAAGCTGGAAACAGCTCTAAATGGGCAGGGAAGGCTAGAAACAGCTCTAAATGGGCAGGGAAAGCTGGAAACAGCTCTAAATGGGCAGGGAAAGCTGGAAACAGCTCTAAATGGGCAGGGAAGGCTAGAAATAGCTCTAAATGGGCAGGGAAGGCTGGAAACAGCTCTAAATGGGCAGGGAAGGCTAGAAACAGCTCTAAATGGGCAGGGAAAGCTGGAAACAGCTCTAAATGGGCAGGGAAGGCTAGAAACAGCTCTAAATGGGCAGGGAAGGCTAGAAACAGCTCTAAATGGGCAGGGAAAGCTGGAAACAGCTCTAAATGGGCAGGGAAGGCTGGAAACAGCTCTAGATGGGTAGGAAAGGCTAGAAACAGCTCTAAATGGGCAGGGAAGGCTAGAAACAGCTCTAAATAGGCAGGGAAAGCTGGAAACAGCTCTAAATGGGCAGGGAAGGCTGGAAACAGCTCTAAATGGGCAGGGAAGGCTGGAAACAGCTCTAAATGGGCAAGAAAGTACTTTGGAAAGAGCTATTGCTGGTGCTGGAAAGGCTGGAAAGAGGTGGACTGTAGAATATCAAGAAGAGAATACAGGTGTGAGTCTCTGAGCTCAGGTGCTCATCTAAACAAAATGTACATCCTTAGAAAACGTGAGATGTCTTGGAATTAGCTTTGACTTGAGAGTGTCTGCAGCGTCTTGAATGACGGAAGGAAAACGAATGGGTTGGATATATCACTATAAAAAAATAACTATGCTTTGAGATGACCTCTGACCTGGTGGGAAGGTCGAAGGGACGACCTAACTGCCTACCTGGAGACGACGGGTACGTCGTAGCCACCGCGGATGTTGTCAGGGCCGACGGGTACTGCAGCAGTCAGCAGGAGACGCGGCTGGCCCGTCTCCTTGCCCTCTGCTTCAAACGCCTCGAAGAGTTCTGTTGGAGAGACCACGTGTTAGTGTTGACATGCATCAGCTGTTGTTGTTTATGTTTGGGTCTGAATGGATTAGGGTCTAATGACATGAGAAAAGTTTCACTTATCTATGTCATCGCTACTTTTTTCAGTAAGCCTAACCTCACCCATCCTATCCTACCCTATCCCACCTTATCCTATCTTACCATATCCTATTCTATGCTACCCTATCCTAACCAAAATAAGATCATTTTTTGTTTTGTTTATATATATATATATATATATATATATATATATATATATATATATATATATATATATATATATATATATATATATATATATATATATATATATATATATATATATATATATATATATATATAGATGGCCATTAAGCAGACGTTAACACCAGGGGACGCTGGTAGAGACACTAATCTCAAATCCGTTGCATTAGACGCAGTCATGATACATTTAACGCAAACGGAAGTGACGTTGTCGAGAGGTCAACCAATCAACACTTTACTGGGATGCTTCGTCATCACCCAACCAAGCACGGAAATGACGTCACCGAGAGATGAACCAATCAACATCTTGCCAAGATGCTACGTCATCGCCCTCAGGCGGTATTGGGACGCATATCATTTAAATATATTGAATTTTTCTTTAGTCTAATGGGGCGACTGTCCTTGTGGTACAGTTATAAGTAATTTCTTAATGTCACTCCGGCTTAAGATGCCGCCTGATTAACACCGGAAGTGGCACGACACCGGGGCGTTCAGAGTCCTCTGAACGACACGTCGTTCAGGGTCCTCTCGACGACACGTCGTTCAGAGTCCTCCCGACGACACGTCGTTCAGGGTCCTCTCGACGACACGTCGTTCAGAGTCCTCTCGACGACACGTCGTTCAGAGTCCTCTCGACGACACGTCGTTCAGGGTCCTCTCGACGACACGTCGTTCAGAGTCCTCTCGACGACACGTCGTTCAGGGTCCTCTCGACGACACGTCGTTCAGAGTCCTCTCGACGACACGTCGTTCAGAGTCCTCTCGACGACACGTCGTTCAAAGTCCTCTCGACGACACGTCGTTCAGGGTCCTCTCGACGACACGTCGTTCAGAGTCCTCTCGACGACAGTTTTATAAAGGCACGTTAGTTTTATAAAGAACAATAGTTTGTGCTGTATAATAATGGTTTATTATTAAATGAACTCTTTGTTGTTGTGGGGTTAAGTGAGGTTGTCAAATGTGTTTTGACTGGCTAGGCGGCGGTCCTTCCATCCATCCTCCTGTCCCAGCTCCTATTCTGTCCTGGTGCCCCTTCCAGATGTTATATATATATGCAGGCGATGAGTCACAATAACGTGGCTGAAGTATGTTGACCAGACCACACACTAGAAATTGAAGGGACGACGACGTTTCGGTCCGTCCTGGACCATTCTCAAGTCGATTCTCACAATCGACTTGAGAATGGTCCAGGACGGACCGAAACGTCGTCGTCCCTTCAATTTCTAGTGTGTGGTCTGGTCAACTTATATATATATATATTGTTTATTACTTTTAGCTCGTTATTTCTGTGAGATTTTTTTCATTCCCTGACAATTTCCTTTCCCACGAGGCGACTTTGTGGAAAGTTATAAAAGGAAAATTTATTAAATTCAAAATACAGCTGATTAATGGGAGGTGCGGCAGGCGTTGCTCTGGTTACAGGAAGGCTGTCTTCCATGGGTACAGTTCACCCTCGCTGTCTCAATCCCTGTCTCAGCTCACCCTTGAGACTGTATAACTCACCCTTCAAGTCACACTTCCCTCCCTCCCGCAGCTCCCCTTGACACTGGATAACTTACCCTTCAAGTCCCACTTCCCTCCCTCCCGCAGCTCCCCTTGACACTGGATAACTTACCCTTCAAGTCCCACTTCCCTCCCTCCCGCAGCTCACCCTTGACACTGTATAACTCACCCTTCAAGTCACACTTCCCTCTCTCCTGCAACTCACCCTTGAGGAGGAGGACGAAGTTGGCCTTGTCGTCTCGTCCCTTGGGGTACTCCCAGTCGAGGTCCAGACCATCAAACTGGTGCTTCCTCAAGAAGGGGACGGCGCTGTAGATGAAGGTCTGACGCGTGTACCGCGTCGCTGACATGTCCTTGAACTTCTTGGTGCCGAACGACCAGCCACCTGCAGCAGAGTACAAGTGTTACAAGAGCCTCAAGGTTCCTGGAGCAGGGGGATGAAGGGAGAGGTGGAGAGAGAGGGCGGGTATAAGAAGGTGTCTTAGAGGAGGGGTGGTAGGGAGGATGATGGGTGTGGGAGAATACACAGGACAAAAGAAGGTGCCTAGGCAGCCGAACAAGAAGTTACATATACAGTTTACTTGCCATGAGAAAATGATTCTTTGGTATGGGGAAGAAAGGAAGGAAATATCAAGGGAAAGCGCCAAGCCATTACGACTATATAGCACTTGGAAGGAGGTCAGGATAAAGGTTGGGGATGGGACGAGGGGAAGGGAATGGTGCCCAACCTCTTGGACGGTCGGGGATTGAACACCGACCTGCATGAAGCGAGACCGTCGCTCTACCGTCCAGCCCAAGTGGGATGAAAGCTTATTAACCGCGGGAGGAGGTTATTCAGGCCACCACAGTTTACTGCTCAACCAACATGTATAATGTAGTCGTGTATACAATACACACTTCAAGTAAACTCTCGGTGTGAATACACAGAGACGCGGAACACATCTTTTGGTGTAAATACCATACTAAAAGGTCACTCCATTGCCTCAAAATGATTTTCATTGATATATCCCGCCATTGTGATTTCAATGCGACCCGCGGTAAATACCATGCATTTTCCCACACTATATATTGCGGGGAGAGAGAGAGAGAGAGAGAGAGAGAGAGAGAGAGAGAGAGAGAGAGAGAGAGAGAGAGAGAGAGAGAGAGAGAGAGAGAGAGAGAGAGAGAGAGAGAGAGAGAGAGAGAGAGAGAGAGAGAGAGAGAGAGAGAGAGAGAGAGAGAGAGAGAGAGAGAGAGAGAGAGAGAGAGAGAGAGAGAGAGAGAGAGACAGAGAGAGAGAGAGAGAGAGAGAGAGAGAGAGAGAGAGAGAGAGAGAGAGAGAGAGAGAGAGAGAGAGAGAGAGAGAGAGAGAGAGAGAGAGAGAGAGAGAGAGAGAGAGAGAGAGAGAGAGAGAGAGAGACAGAGAGAGAGAGAGAGACAGAGAGAGAGAGAGAGAGAGAGAGAGAGAGAGAGAGAGAGAGAGAGAGAGAGAGAGAGATAGAGAGAGAGAGGGCCCCCTTGGAATGTGGGAAAAGGGGGGGGAAAAAAAAAAAAAAAAAAAAAAACCCGGGCATGTTTTCCCTTTTGGGTTGGCCAAATTTGTTAAAACCCCCGTTTTTTTTAAGGGGGTTCCCCCCTTTCCCCCCCCCCCCCGGGGGGGGGTTTTTTTGGGGGGGGGGGGTTTTTAAATTTGTCCCGGGGGGGGTTTTTGGGGGGCCCTTTCCCCCGGGGGGGGGGGAAGGGGGGTAAAGGGGGCCCGGGGGGGGGTTTTTTTTTCCCCTTTTTTTTTTTTTTCCCCCCTTTTCCCCTTTTCTCCCCTTTTTCCCTTTCCCCAATTTCCCTTTGGCCCGTTTAACCCCGGGGGTTTTTTGGGGGGGGGGGGCCCCGGGTTTGGTTAAAATTTTGGAAAAGGGGGCCCCCAAAAAAACCCCTTTCCCCCCAAACAGGAAAATTGGGAAAAAAAAAAAATTCCCTTTTTTTTTTTTAAACCCCGGGGGGGGGTTTAGGGGTTTGGGGAAAAAATTGGGGGAAATTTTTGGGGGGTTTTTTTTTAAAAAGGGGAGGGGGGAAATTCCCGGGGGAGAAGGAGGGTTGTATGGAAGTTGGTGTAGTAGCACACCATCTGTGGGGGAGAGGAGGGTTGTAGTGGAGGTGGTGAAGTGTACCATCTGTGGGGGAGAGTGGTAGTGGAGGTGGTGCAGTGTACCATCTGTGGAGGAGAGGAGGGTTGTAGTGGAGGTGGTGCAGTGTACCATCTGTGGGGGAGAGTGATAGTGGAGGTGGTGCAGTGTACCATTTGTGGGGGAGAGTGGTAGTGGAGGTGGTTGCAGTTGTTTGTCCATCTGTGGGGGGAGTGGTAGTGGGGTGAGTGTACCATCTGTGGGGGAGAGTGGTAGTGGAGGTGGTGCAGTGTACCATCTGTGGGGGAGAGTGATAGTGGAGGTGGTGCAGTGTACCATTGTGGGGGAGGGTGGTAGTGGAGGTGGTGCAGTGTACCATCTGTGGGGGAGGGTGGTAGTGGAGGTGGTGCAGTGTACCATCTGTGGGGGAGAGTGGTAGTGGAGGTGGTGCAGTGTGCCATCTGTGGGGGAGAGGAGGGTGGTAGTGGAGGTGGGGTGAAGTGTACCATCTGTGGGGGAGAGGAGGGTGGTGTTTTCGGCAGTAATAGTTGTTGATGGTGATTGGGTGGCGGAGGGGCAGTTGAACAAGGTGTTCTCACCTAGTTGTGCTTGCGGGGGCTGAACTTAGGCTCTTTGGTCCCGCCTCTCAACTGTCAACCGTGTGCGTGTATGTGTGTGTGGGGGGGATGGATCGACGTGGTGATGGTAATAGTTACGTGTAGATGGTTAAATCACCTGTGAAGAGGCTCCAGGTGTCGGGTCAGCTACACTACACTCTCTAACCCCCAAACTGAGCAAAACTTCACGTAAATCATCTCAACACACTAAGCAAATCTTAACTCACATAGACTATTACCCAGAACCTGTTCCAGCCTCTCTCAGATAGCTGACAACCGGTCTGACCCGTTCTCACCTTGTTTGACCTAACATGAAGGTGACCTAACTAGCCTTATATTAACTATGATTTCTACCTAACTGTGTCGACCGGGTCAGCAGCTTAACATGACCCAAGCCACACAGCACTAACCACAGATGACCTCACAAATTACCTTGTATGACCTTATGCTTAAACCAAACATGCTTCGATGTTTTTCTACCTGTCAGCTTCACGATGGTATAGCAAGCCGTGACCTGACCTCGTAGATGAGGTCAGGTCACGTGTGAGGGGGGACACGTGACTTGACTTTACTCACCAACCGGTTTTGGTCGCCGGAAGAACCGACGGCATTGCCATTGTCGCTACCCTGGCTGGAGGCTGCAGGCCGGATGCGGGGCCGGACCTGAGGGAGACCACATGGAGAGTCAGTCAACGGGAGACCACATGGAGAGTCAGTCAACAGGAGACCACATGGAGAGTCAGTCAACAGGAGACCACATGGAGTCAGTCAACAGGAGACCACATGGAGTCAGTCAACAGGAGACCTAGTAGAGAGTCAGTCAACAGAAGACCACATGGAGAGTCAGTCAACAGGAGACCAAGTAGAGAGTCAGTCAACAGGAGACCAGGTAGAGAGTCAGTCAACAGGAGACCAGGTGGAGAGTCAGTCAACAGAAGACCACATGGAGAGTCAGTCAACAGGAGACCAGGTAAGGGGAGGGGAGGGGGGGGGGTCAGTCAACCTTCTAGCACAACAAGGACTCATAAAACAGTCAAGTGGAGGAAGCAAGAAGGAAAAGACAAGCAATGAATACAAATATATTCCCTCTAACCAGAACCTGTAAATTACTGCGACTGAACAACAATGTGAGAGGGATGGACACAGGGAAGGGGGGGGGAAGCTAATGAGAGGAACAGGAGGAAAAGGTGGAACAGGAATAGAAAAGTGACAATTAAACAACTCCAAATAAACACTTATGAAGTAAATGCTGGAAAATAACTCTTACTATTCTACGAAAAATTACATCAAATTCAGTCGAGAAATTATATGGGAGAGAATTGTTTAGGCATTTAACCTCTTGCAACACAGGTCACGGGAGAGAATATTTAGAAACAATTAAAAATAAATGAACATATCTGTCCTTCGAAGCTTGGGGGGACAGAACCTATGTGAACCTGGAGATGTAGAGAGGTTTAAAGTCTAAACAAATGCAATAAATCAACACAATACAGCTGTATAAATCAATATAATACAGCTGAATAAACAGATCAGTTCAAAATACACACACAGTGAGGATGAGTGAACTAGAGGTTAAAATAAATGCAAGCAAAACAGTTTCATCTGCAAGACGAAGCTAAGTTATAAGGTCTCACTCTGTTCCTGTTCCTGGAGGTGGAGGCCGCCGCTGCTGGTCTCTTGGGCACTGTGTTAGTGTCTGCACCAGAGGCCAGACGTCTCCTGCCCACAGTGTTGGCTACAGCAGTCTCCGTCTGCACGGAGGCTGCTGTCTGCTGGCCCTGCTCCCGTAGTCTGCCGCGGAACCTCGACCGCTGGCGAGGGTTGGCTGCGTCTGCGGAAACCAGACATAAACACGTTAACATATTGAGTATTAATAACCGATAAGGTCATTTGTAGCACTGCAAGATATTCGAACCAGCGTTCAGGTGACTCCCAGACTTCCACTCGGCCATGATAAGACCTATTGTGGCTACGTGGGGTAAAAGACAAGAGTTTGGAGGTCAGAAGAACGCTGGGTCGAATCCCCACATTGTTCCAAATGATTTTCTTACTGATATATCATGCCATTATAATTTCTTCGTGTTAGTATCAACAATAATATTGATGTTTTCTGCGCATGCGTCTGGAACATCCAACGCATGGGTTCGAGCCCTCATCACGGCTCCTGTGGATTTATACATGTATATATCACGTTAATGTGAGTTCTCTGTGTAATAATATTAATAATTACTAATATTTTCCTCAATATATGCATTGTGACGAATGACTTTCACCGTCCTCACCACCTGGTTAATGTTAACTTAGACCAGGTTAATGTTAACTTAGACCAGGTTAATGTTAACTTAGACCAGGTTAATGTTAACTTAGACCAGGTTAATGTTAACTTAGACCAGGTAATGTTAACTTAGACCAGGTTAATGTTAACTTAGACCAGGTAATGTTAACTTAGACCAGGTTAATGTTAACTTAGACCAGGTTAATGTTAACTTAGACCAGGTTAATGTTAACTTAGACCAGGTTAATGTTAACTTAGACCAGGTTAATGTTAACTTAGACCAGGTTAATGTTAACTTAGACCAGGTTAATGTTTTGAAACTTTAAGACGTTCTATAACATCGCAACACAAAATGTGTGTATTTTTCACTGCGTTATGTAAGCGGAATTTAGCTAAATATTTACACGGTTATATGGGGCTCCAGCTCCTGGACCCTGCCTTTTTGTTTTGCTTATTTTTAGCGATGAGGAGATCGATGATTTGAAGCTCAACCCTCGCAAGGGCAATTAAGAATAATTAGGTGTGTGTGCAGTCGTACGCACGCGCACACACACACACACACACACACACACACACACACACACACACACACACACCGCACACACAATTATAGTGGTGCACACCCCTCGGGGGAAGGGGGGGGGGGCACATGAGCCTTAAACCCAACAAACAAACCTTGATGTAAACAATACCACGATGATTGTATCAAACCGCCAAGAATAATACAATATACAACACGCTACACCACAATACAGTCCAACTCCACTGTATCCTCCGATACAATAAGACATTCACAAACAAGCAAAGAAGATACACGACCATTGCTACCTGAGACTACTAGCAAGTTGCTAAAACTAGTAGTTCACCTGCTTACTACTTCACTAGTTCCACCTGCTCCTAGTGTAACCTGCAAACTAATAGCGATGCAACTTAACTAGTGACTCGAATCCCTATGCCAGGATCTGTGTATAGCTTCTAAAATCACAACGACTGTACTAGTTGCGAGATTGACTAGTACGGATGCTAGTTCAATCCTGCTAGCACCAATATACTACTAGAAATATTAGTGTACTAGTCTGAGGATTAGTGTCGCCAGTTTCTGTCTGTCTGTCTGTTAGCGTCAGTATTAGTGTACTCAAATCAGTATTAGAATATCAATGGGAAGGAATGAGGGGGATTCGAACCAGCGACCAGGAAGCTCCCAATCGTGCACTTCACCTGTTGTACCGCGTGAAACATATTATACACCAGAGTGCACGAGGAGGGGGGGGGGTGGCTGGGGGGGCTATATGTCAAGCTTTATATATGTAAAGCTTGATCTGGCTTCAGTGCAAGCCTCCACATTTCCTGTTGATTCGGTGGAATCCACAGGTTGTATGACTTCTACCATGTCGTGGTGCAGCAGGGTAAGGTACGCTGTTGGGAGTTTCCTGGTCGCTGGTTCGAGTTATCGTGTTGATATATCTCACGTTAGTGTGATTTCTAGTGTGACCAATATTAGTGTGCTGGTATCAACACTAGTGTACTGGGTTCAGTAGTAATGGAACTAGCATCAATATCAGTGTGTAAAAGTTAATATTAGTATACTAACAGGTTCAGAAATAGGAGAGAGAGAGAGAGAGAGAGAGAGAGAGAGAGAGAGAGAGAGAGAGAGAGAGAGAGAGAGAGAGAGAGAGAGAGAGAGAGAGAGTCTTAACAAGTTAGGATTCACAGAGGTGAGCGAAACTCAGTGAGAATAACTTGTCCGAAGCCGTGATTAGATCACACGGTGCTGACTGGTGGCCAGCCGAGCATCTGCACTTTCACTCAGTTTCGTACTCGTCTCAATCACCGCCTCCAGATTTAGCTCCCCCCCCTCCCTTTCTCTCTCTCCCTCCCCTCCCTTCCCCTCTCTCCCCTCCCCCCCCCCCCCAATACACCTGTTCTCATGTTTGTGCAAAGAATTATTCTCCTAACTCCTCTTCCTGTTTGTTTTATGGTTGTTACTGTGTTTGTAATATCTTGTTAGAGTTGGTATACTTATATATATGTAATGCGTACGTTGGCATATACGAAGTTAGTTCCCAGTTCCCACGCGGCAGGTTAGAGGCGCGGTATATCTGCCGTGCCTCTATATATACCGTATATCTATCATTGAGGTAAAATATAAAAATATATCATTGAGGTAAAATATAAAAATATATCATTGAGGTAAAATATAAAAATATATCATTGAGGTAAAATACACACAAAGGGATGAGGTAGCTCAAGCTATTCTCACCCCGTTTTGGTGTCTTTGATACTGTGGTATGATGTATGATGTATGATGTATATGCTGTGCTCGGCTATAAGATAACAATCATAATTGTATATTGAATATAATTGTACTTTATTGCATCTAAGAATTTTAATTTCATAAAATTCTCGTTTGATGTGAAAAAATCCCTTAATTGAATACATTTACACACAAATAACGTCTGCCTATTTGTGTCAATTTGTGGTGTAGATTTTATATAATACAATACAATACAATTTTATTTAGGTAAGGTACATACAATAAATATATACAAGGATTGTTTGACTTATAGGTAGAGCTAGTACATACAATGCCTAAAGCCACTATTACGCAAAGCGTTTCGGGCATGAATAAACTAGTTGAATAAACTATAAGGTTGATAAACTATGTATATAATTAAGAATGACTATAAGTATAGTTTAGGAAATTCTATTTTAGCAGTATTAGCTTCTGTCTCTGGGCTGTGGTAGTTCTTTAATATATGGGATTTGTGAGGTCGCAAACCCCAACTCTTACCTCATATTCCACATTCTTATCTGTCACATCTATCTCACTTGCCTCATTGCCACACCAGGCAATGAGTAACATTTGAGCTCCTGAGAAGGTCAAACCAGGTGAGACACTCACGCATGAGAAGTTTATCAAGCTGAGACACTCACGAATGAGAAGTTTATCAAAGTGAGACACTCACGAATGAGAAGTTTATCAAGCTGAGACACTCACGCATGAGAAGATTATCAAGGTGAGACACTCACGAATGAGAAGTTTATCAAGCTGAGACACTCACGAATGAGAAGTTTATCAAGCTGAGACACTCACGAATGAGAAGTTTATCAAGCTGAGACACTCACGCATGAGAAGATTATCAAGGTGAGACACTCACGAATGAGAAGTTTATCAAGCTGAGACATGATTACGAATGAGAATTTTCCCCCTGGAGACATTCTCACGAATGAGAAGTTCAGAAATGAGACATACAGGTACAAAGGAAGGAGAGTGATGGAGGGAGTGAGGGTGATGGAGGGAGTGAGGGTGATGGAGGAGGCAAAGTGATGAAGGGAAGGTGACGGAGGGAATGAGGGCGATGGAAGTGGAGGGAGAGAGGGTGATGTTGGAGGGAAAGAGGGTAAAGGTGGAGGGAAGGAATGAGGGTGATGGAGGGAGGGAGGGAGGAAGTAGGTGTGGAGGGTCACGGACGAGTCACCAAGCCCAAGTTTCACTGATGCCTCCATCTTGTTACTCTCCTTCCTCGCCCTCTTGTTTCCTCCCCTCCTTTACTTTCTTCCCTCACGCTACTCTCCCTCCCCCACAACTCTACTCCCTACTGCTTCCCCTTCCATAACCCCCTCCCTCCCTCCCTCCCTCCCTCCCACGTTCAGGACAACAATACCCTTGCAGGTTGGCCAGTAAGGTTGAGAGACCAACACACCGACAGGCTCATCAGAGTTGCGGGACATTAGGTAACGGGGGCTCTCTCTCTGCTGGACTACCTGCTCTGGTAAGGCTTCTCTTAATAAACTCAAGTCTGTCCTTACGGTAGTAACAGACTGCATGAAGGCTCCATGTATCCTCCTACTGCCTGCACCAGTGACAATGCTAGGAGACACGTCAAAGTGTGTCATAAGAACAAGGTAACTGCAGAAGGCCTATTGGCCCATACGAGACAGCTCCTATTTCTAACCACCCAATCCCACTCATATGCATGTCCAATCCACCGTGTCAGTGCTGTTACGCCTGGCCAGCACTCGGGGAGCGGGATGGCCCGTTGAGCAATCGTCATCATGGTCAGGTTAGGCAAGCCACCTCCAGGGGCTCCCCGGAGCTGCAACACTTACCCACAAGACTGTCCTTAGGGCAGACTATTACCTTTGTTAGTGATTATCGCTCAGGGAACCGTCCTTTCACTCCGGGACTTCACAAGACTGACTTTAACTTCCCCGTAATCATTTATTAATTAAATGAGACATGTTTTGGATAACAATAACATTTGAATTAACTTAAGTACATATTATTAAATTAATCAACTTGATTTTCCCCAATTAATATATATTAGTAAACAATCCAAATAAAACAAGATTTAAAATATATTTTCAACTCTTCATTTTGAATCGAATATACGAAGAGAATGAGACTGTTTCTGAGGCGTCAGTGAGGCGAGTAAAGTACTCTTACGCACTTAACTCGCACTTAAAGTGCGAATGAAAAGCACTTAAAGTGCTTTTCATTCTGACCTCGAACCACGGACTTTATACGTACGAGGCTGAATGCTTTCCATCCATTAACAGGGGTTTTGGCGATTGGATTAACAAGTATTTGACTTTTGTTGATAAGGCCAGGCTGGAAACTATATGAACAAGTACATATGTTCGTATGTCATAATATGTACTACTTAGAACAATTCCCAATATGCAGCCTGATGCATGGATCATCGGTAGTAAGCTGCGAGTTGACTTAGTTGACGCGTGGTAAGTCATACTGAGAAGACCCACAGCAGCCGTGATATGGGATTCGAACCTCTAGGTTCTTTGGTTTGTAATGAGGATTGTAAGTTCGAATCCTCCTCCTGTGGATTTTCTCACTGATATATCACGATAATGTGATTTCTCTGTGTATTATTATTATTATTATTATTATTATTATTATTATTATTATTATTTGCTTTGATTATGCTTCAAGGTTCTGTCCGAGTTGTGTCACTCTTATTTACAGCTTCTGTGGGGGACGCCAGAGTAACCCCCTATCTTGAGATGATGATTTCGGGGCTTAGCGTCCCCGCGGCCCGGTCCTCAACCAGGCCTCCTTTTTTCATGTTGTTTAAAACATCAACCACGACATATGGAGCAACTTTACTCAAAACTATTTCAAGATATAAAGGAAACATTAATTAGCATTACGAAGTTGATTCAATATAAGACCAGAGCTGAACACAACACGAAGAACAAACATTAATATAAAACGATTACTAAAAAATAGAACATGAATAAAAAACTACGACAAATAATAAAATGAGTACAAACACAATTATAAAACACAGCAAAATGCAGCAATAATAATTATCCGGATTAATAAAGGACAACGAAAAAATATAAATTACAAGGTGTCCTCAGACGGAAATAACAGTGACTAAATATATATATATATATATATATATATATATATATATATATATATATATATATATATATATATATATATATATATATATATATATATATATATATATATTTATAAAAAATAAAGTATAATATATGATGGCGTAGCAGGAACGTTGAGGCGTTTGGTGTAAGTTTAGCTGGACCATAAAAAAACTGAATGTATCAGAAAGCGAACACTCAGATTTTTTGTTAACATTCTCTCCCTGTGTGTGTATATGTATAGCTTTCACTACATGTTTGTCGTTGTTTTGAGTGATGAGGCTTGGGGCGGCGTATGGGTGGTATCGTAGAAAATGTAGCGGGGATTTGATGAGGGGGGACTCCTCAGTGTTGAAAATCTCCTGGCTGGCTGTCGCACCCTCCTCCCTTCCTTACGTCCCCACACACACTCACTCACTCATTCAGCGCCTCAGGTTCACGTTCTTCTTGAGTAGTGACGTCACTAGATAGTTTTCACGTATGATTAACATTACTTTCCCATGTAGACAGGTGCGTGCCGCCACCTTCAGTCACCTGGCCACCACAAACTGTTACCTGGTCACCACCAACAGTCACCTGGCCTCAACCAACAGTCACCTGGCCTCCGCTTAAGTGTTCCACTTACCTCAATCTGGAAAAGGTACCTCTTACATTGCTCAAAGTATTCAGTAATAACGGTTTCATATTTGATATCTCGTCCTGAACCCAATCCTCACGGAGTCTGGACTCTTTGTCAATGTCATTAAGGATTTTCGACGTCGTGATCATATCCCCTTTTTTGTCTTTATAACGTTTGTATAATAATCGAGCTGCTTTAGTGGAGGTATTAGCTTGGTGGCAAAACTCTGCACCCTCGCTGTTAACACTGGAGGCTACAGGAGCAGGAACTTAACTTTCTAATCTGTTTGCAGGTTAAGAGCTCTCTCTCCCACAGCTCAATTTATAGTCTTTCATTGCATATTTACGCAATATTACTGTAAGTCAGGCGAGACGCACCAAGGTCACCTACTACTGATGGGTGTACAAGGTCGAGCCAAGTGTAGGAACCGTCTCAAAACTGTTCCATCCTGCTCAGGGTTCGAACCCAAGACCTCTCGCTTGCACAGTGTGCGTTCTGACAAGGGTTTGGTCTCCACGATGGCGTTGTATTCGTTAGTATTAGTCTTACCTGCGAGGTCACCACATCCTGAAGGATAGGTCAGTGTGAGGCTGAAACAGGTTATTCACTCACACATCAGAGTGAAGGTCAGAGACTGCAAGAAGATTGATTGATAAGGATTAAGCCACCTAAGAGGTGGCACGGGCATGAATAGCCCGTAAAACTACAAGAACATCTAGACGAGTACAAATAGATAATGTGCGCACACCTCACCACAGTAGGTGTGCCACACACATGAGGAAAGGTGACTGAGGGAGGTGATAACGACGTTTAAGATACTAATAGGGCTCCAATATAAACAAGGATGCAATTATATGCATGGAAGGCCCACATAACGAGAGGACGCTGGAACAAGGGACGCAAATGGGCCATACAGACGTCAAAGGAAGACTTTATTTAGTGTATAATTGAAACAAAACTAACGGAACGAATTATATGCATTAAACGACTGGCAACTGAAGAAGGTGGGGCTCTTGAGCCGGCGCTCAACCGTGCAAGCTCATTTAGACGGGTATAATTATGTGATTAATCCCTGTCTAGATAGACCAGGCCCCACTCCTATGGAAGCTGACGGCAGGAAGGGACGACTATAGACCTTATAACCTACCTTGTGCAAAGGTGAAAGTCGCCAGGAGGACCACCCCGATCGCCAACCATCCCGGCTTCTGCAAGTAAACAGGAAAATAGATTTGTTACGTAATAATAATAATTCATGGCAAGGGAAGGAAATTACAATCAATGGGTAATACATGATACATCTGTATTTCAATGTGATGGTGAATATGAGTGGAATATGTCGTGCTGGGACGCGTGGTTGTACTCACCTAGTTGTGCTTGCGGGGGTTGAGCTCTGGCTCTTTGGTCCCGCCTCTCAACAAGTCACTGAGAGTTGAGGTTATGTGGTAGTGACCAGGACAAGAGAGCTTCCTCCACGTGTTAGCGGGGTCCTAGTGTGACCAGGCTGGTCCTAGTGTGACCAGACTGATCCTAGTGTGACCAGACAGGTCCTAGTGTGACCAGACTGGTCCTAGTGTGACCAGACTGGTCCTAGTGTGACCATACTGGTCCTAGTGTGACCAGACTGGTCCTAGTGTGACCATACTGGTCCTAGTGTGACCAAACTGGTCCAAGTGTGACCAAACTGGTCCTAGGGAGACAAACCTGACTGGCCTCTCACGCTCCACGACGAGGCACTGTAACAATGGTCATCCTTGAGGTCCCAAACAGTTCCTGAAGTGCCTCTTTGTGCCTCTGGTCTCTCATACCTGGGTCAGGATACATCAAGCGTTTATTCAACTAACGAAACCTCTACATCTCTCCAAGGTATTATTATTTTAAACAACCTTCTAATACTTCAAAGCTTCACTGCTCAATAAATGCAAACAAAAAGCCGATATGATTGGGGAAAGATGTACAGGTTTCACAAGTGGTTTGGTAAATGTTTGATCAATCCTGTCTTTGTAATAGACGATTCAGTACATATTTTAAGGCCGCGGCATTATTCTGGTATCTGAGAGGTTTGCTGTTACGGGGGCGTGATCCCATACCATGACTGGGCTGAATATCCTGCTCGTCTCTCTTGTTTTGGTCAGTAACGTTCTGGGTGTGATGTGTGTCTTAAACTGGGGGCTTTTCTGCCATCTTGTTACTTTGTTACAATTAAAATGGAAGAGAGAATGTGTGTGTGCGTGTGCGTGTGTGTGTGTGTGTGTGTGTGTGTGTGTGTGTGTGTGTGTGTGTGTGTGTGTGTGTGTGTGTGTGTGTGTGTAATTGTACCATATTACCAGAGTGTACAGGACCAGCAACTGGGCATCACATATTTTTAGCTGACGGTCGTCTAATGATTATCTGTCGTCCTTTAAAACTGTGTGTTGATGCTTGGCTTCAGCTGCCTCCTCCTGTAGCTCATTCATCTGCTCACTGGTCGTATGCCCCCTCAAAAAAAATCCTTTGACGATATTTCTAAAGATCATAATTGTCGCGATCACGACTCATTTCGTGTCACCTTTTCTCTTGTGTGTGAGTCCTGCGGGTATCAGCTCATCCACTGAGCTGACATCTAGGCAGACTGAGAGAGAGAGAGAGAGAGAGAGAGAGAGAGAGAGAGAGAGAGAGAGAGAGAGAGAGAGAGAGAGAGAGAGAGAGAGAGAGAGAGAGAGAGAGAGAGAGAGAGAGAGAGAGAGAGAGAGAGAGAGAGAGAGAGAGAGAGAGAGAGAGAGAGAGAGAGAGAGAGAGAGAGAGAGAGAGAGAGGAGAGAGAGAGAGAGAGAGAGAGAGAGAGAGAGAGAGAGAGAGAGAGACGCCATGGACAAAGAACTTGGGAATGCAGAGAGAATATCTATGTATAGCAGAGCAGTGTTGTGGTGGGTGGTGGAAAGCTTGCGACTGACCCAGGACCTTCCCGACGGCGGGCCCCGAGGCGCCCTTCTGAGACCACACCCACACAGAGAGAGAGAGAGAGAGAGAGAGAGAGAGAGAGAGAGAGAGAGAGAGAGAGAGAGAGAGAGGAGAGAGAGAGAGAGAGAGAGAGAGGAGAGAGAGAGAGAGAGAGAGAGAGAGAGAGAGAGAGAGAGAGAGAGAGAGAGAGAGAGAGAGAGAGAGAGAGAGAGAGAGAGAGAGAGAGAGAGAGAGAGAGAGAGAGAGAGAGAGAGAGAGAGAGAGAGAGAGAGAGAGAGAGGAGAGAGAGAGAGAGAGAGAGAGAGAGAGAGAGAGAGAGAGAGAGAGAGAGAGAGAGAGAGAGAGAGAGAGAGAGAGAGAGAGAGAGAGAGAGAGAGAGAGAGAGAGAGAGAGAGGAGAGAGAGAGAGAGAGAGAGAGAGATTTTAAAACACACATCCCCCCATAGTATTACTACACTCCAGCACACACATTGCATATTCCCAATTGTCACGGGGCATTTCCTCACTAGACACGTCAGTAAAAACTTGAGAATCATGCATGCTTATGAGGGTGATGGGATGGTTATGAGGGTGATGGGATGGTTATGAGGGTGCTGGGATGGTTATGAGGGTGCTGGGATGGATTACAGAGAGCCTCATGGAACACACAGTAACGGTAAGGGAGCAGGCCTCGCGCCGACAGGAGGAGAGGGGGACAACGGGAGTGGTTATCCTGGTGATCATGAAGAACCTACATCTGGAAAATAATACATTCATATTAAAATAATTCGCCAGGAAGTCGACTTTCTTCCCGACAAACACAGATCTTTGAAGGCCCCGACGGCGATGATGCCGACAGACCCGAGGAATCCTCGAGACAGGAGTGTCGAAAGTGACCGACAGACCCGGTGTCTGGCCCGACACGGCTCACGGGTGTCGGAGGGATGGGGTGACACCTCCCCGATGACTCCCGCCCCCACACAGATCGAAACGAACTTTGGGCCAGACGGAAAGGGAATCAGAACACAGTTGAGACTCGGTAAAAGAACATTATGTACCTTTTGTAATAATATTGTTATTCTTGTAAAATTATTACAAGAACAACAATAATCTTCTTGTTCTTGTAATAATAAAGATCATCGTTCTTGTTGTTCCTCGTCTCGACGTGACTACTTATCAATCTTCTTTTGTCTGTTTAATGCCCTGGCTCGTCTTTCTCTCCCGCACGTTAGCGAAGGTCCGTCACGTGTCGGTAGTATCAAGCTAGACCTAAGCTACTCAGAGAAGACAGTTGTACAAACACAACTATTCGTGTTTTAAGGCGGGAGGTTGCCCTTGTGGGTTTAAATCTTAACAATCACTCGTTCATTTTTTTATTATTTCTTTACCGAACCTCTTTTGTTTTATGCCATGGCGCAATGAGGGTTTTTTTTTCTTCTCTGCTCAGCCCTCACTTGCAAAGTATCGGATCCTTTACTGCTTTACATCTCGATCCCATTTTCTTCCTGAAAGAAAACGCGTGAATGGAGACTAGAGACTCTCCTGAATCGAGACATTTCACTCTTGTTTATAAAAAGTTACACGGAGACTTGCACACATTTTCTGATATTTTAAACTGGTTGTTACATCATGCAATTACACCAGTCTCTGCGCTGGTTCGAGGCAATCTTCAAATGCTATCATTGTGACGTGGGTTTAGAGTCATTAATTGTTAACAGCCACCTCTTAGTATACACCCAAATATAACACACGATCGCGCTAACACAGTATGGCTATACAGCAGAATGACTTGTGTGTTCTTAGCCTTTGTCACGCTAACGTCTCGAATGTCTGCCAGGGTGGATGACTGCCAGCGTGGAAAGCTGCCAAGGTGGATGTCTGTCAGGGCTGGTGTCTGTCAGGGCTGGTGGCTGTCAGGGCTGGTGGCTGTGAGGGCTGGTGCCTGTCAGGGCTGGTGCCTGTCAGGGCTGGTGTCTGTCAGGGCTGGTGGCTGTCAGGGCTGGTGGCTGTGAGGGCTGGTGCCTGTCAGGGCTGGTGTCTGTCAGGGCTGGTGGCTGTCAGGGCTGGTGGCTGTGAGGGCTGGTGCCTGTCAGGGCTGGTGGCTGTCAGGGCTGGTGGCTGTCAGGGCTGGTGGCTGTCAGGGCTGGTGGCTGTCAGGGCTGGTGGCTGTGAGGGCTGGTGCCTGTCAGGGCTGGTGCCTGTCAGGGTTGGTGGCTGTCAGGGCTGGTGTCTGTCAGGGCTGGTGGCTGTCAGGGCTGGTGTCTGTCAGGGCTGGTGGCTGTCAGGGCTGGTGCCTGTCAGGGCTGGTGCCTTTCCCCGGCACTAAACAACCTATTCAGGTAAGCACACAAGGGGCCACATGAGCCATGAGGGCCACTCGCGGCCCTCACGCATGGCCGCCTCTCAGGAAGCTGTCAGAAACTCTCCATTGTTCACCTCACTAAAAAATATAACATCGATTCAGTGCGCTATGAAAGCTGGAAAATAAAAAGTACAAACACTTCCAGACTATAAATTATATACAAAGTGAAATCTGGAAGGATTCATGAGATAATTCTCGACTTTTAAGACAAAAAAAAAAAAAAATCTGAATCCCTTTCATTTTTCTTCATGAATGGTGTAGTTTGAGCACTTCAAACTGCTGTAATCAGTTGGCAATAATCACGCTGTCAAAATAAACGACCAGTCATTACCCACGAAACTGAAGAAAGCATTACACCTTCCAGGTGGCGTGTGATTGGCTGTGGGAGACGGTTTGGACAGTATTACCATAAGCCAGGGAAAGGAGGCAGTCTTAGAAAGTTGCATTTATCGAGAGAATTCAAGAACAGTGATGAGAAGAGTGTTGAAAGCGAAATAAATTTCCCTTTTTCCAAAGCGGTTCCAAGCTAGGAACCTCTTCAGTAGTGAGCGGCAAGAATGACTGCTGTAGCGTCTTCTGTACCTCTTCAGTAGTGAGCGGCAAGAATGACTGCTGTAGCGGCTTCTGTGGCGTCAAGTGAGGTGTCCTGGGACCAGGGATAAGCGTGCGGTTGTAACCTTGTTACCTCATCACTGAGCACGCCTCCAGGTGGAAGCTAGGGCGGGGTTGTGGGAAGTTTCGGAGGTCACAGAGGGTGTGGCCACACTGGTCAACAGCGACCCACACACACACACGCCATCTGGGACGCCACGCCCATGATAAGTTTTAACGATAAAGCCACTGTGGTTTACGATAGAGCCACCGTGGTTAGCGGTAGAGCCACCACACTTAATTTTAACGATAGCACCGCTTTCATAAGTTATAACATAGAATTACGACTATGTATATTTCTGCTAGGAGCGAAGGAACTATAGAGTGAAATTGCCTGTTGCCTTGAGAGGAGGGGAGGCAAGAGCAAGAGTAGCATAACCGCCAGAATTGCACTAAAACAGATCGTGGAGGTTGGAGCCGGATGGCCAAAACAACCCAGCTCCTTCAACTTTCCTTCGTTAGTCTCACAATCAGCCGGATAGAACGAGGCAGAGCTTATTACAAGGGGGGAAAGATAGCCAGTGCTTGTGTACAAGGAACATGCTTGCGCTTGTATGCACTAAGGATAAAGAGAGAGACAGCGTTTGTGTACAGAGTAAAGATTTACATAATCTCCAGTTCCTCACATTTCAGCCACACCTGCAGGAGACTTCAGCGCCACCAGTTGACGGTTCCAAGACTGGCCGCTGCCAGAGTCGTGAGTCCCCGGGGCGAGAGTGACGACCGGTTTTTGTCGACCTTGCTAAGCCTGTCCGCTGTACAGCTGCGTGTTTTTTTCCCCTACATACCTCCATGGCGCTAAACCACACACATTTATGCTATTTACAATAACAATAGGCATGAAATTGATGGATAATTATTTATATTCAATTATTTTAATTTTTGAAGATTAATTATAGAGCTCTGGAGCTCTAACAGGCACTGCCGACGAATGTGCTGAAGGGGAGGACGCAGCCCCGAGGCCTTGATGCCTTGGCGCACTGTGAACGGTGTGTTGATAATATGTTCTCTGTGTATCAGGGTCGAATACTGTTCTCTTTCACCAGTTGAGTGAACACCCTGAGAGCCAGCCAGGTACCATAATGGCCCTTTGTGGTGACTGATAGTGTGGTGTCGTGGTGGTGGTGTAAGAGAGCTGTCTTGGGGTGCGACAATGGCTCCGGTACGTAGGATCTCGGACGTAGGTTCGAATCCTCGTCACGGCCCTTGTGGATTTGTTCATCCGGTATGGTGTGTTGTCGTGGTGGGACTCCGGTGTGCTGTGGTGTTGTCGTGGTACAACACGACACTCTTAGACATCATATTGAGATGATTCTATGGTGATTTACGTCGCTCCGGAGGGCTAAAATATCCCTGAATTACACATCACTATCACCACTCTGATAATTTGTCGCGTTTCATTGCCAATTCTAATTACAGTAAACAACCCACATATTCACTTCTAAAACCATTTCACTCTCGTTTAATTGCGTGATTTGGCGTTCACTGCTGACCGCATTTGGTGTCGCCAGTGCGGCTGGCCACTGCTAATCACAGTTGCTGGTCACGGCGCGACCTTGTGCGTGATTGTATTGACTTAATATTAGGTCAGTAATCATCAAGAACTAGATACTATCCAAGAGTGAATGAGGAGGCTGCTTCACCAGACAATGACTCTAATGCTGTTAGCCAGCAGGAGGGTCATTGAACGATTCACTATTCTTAGCCAAAAACAAGTCTGAAACTTCAACCACATACCGTTGAAAATATTCAGCTGAAAGTTCAACTACATACCGTTGAAAATGTTCAGCTGAAAGTTCAACCACATACCGTTGAAAATGTTCAGCTGAAAGTTCAACCACATACCGTTGAAAATGTTCAGCTGAAAGTTCAACCACATACCGTTGAAAATGTTCAGCTGAAAGTTCAACCACATACAGCTCAACATGTTCAGCTTCCATGATTCCAGAGACGTGAAGGTGTAACTGTTCATTCCAACCAGCCAATGAGAGAAGAGCACAATTAGTCTCCAGTGTTATCTGGACCAATGAGATAACGGAATTATCACCATGGTCTGACCGGAGTTCCTTGGTCTATACTGGACTAGAGGCAACAGGTGATATAATATACTTCAGTACCCCCTCCGCTTCATCTGGGAGAATCAGTGAGGCGCCTTATTGATTGCAAGAACTTCATCTGCCCCAACCACACACACACACACGCACGCACGCACACACACACACACACACACACACACACACACACACACACACACACACACACACACACACACAACGCACCCAAACACGCAAGCATACAACACAGACACACAACTCGACAATCCGGCTGACCTCGTCACGATCACCCCTTAACTCCAACGGTATGCGTGTTACACCTTGAAGAACCTTCGGCAAATGTGAAATTCTGATTCGTGCTTTAGAACTGAGGAATTCTGATTCGTGCTTTGGAACTGAGGAATTGTGATTCGTATTTTGAAGAGTCAATCCACCATTACTACTATGAACACTAGTAGTAATACTTAAATTGGTAATTTCAGTTTCCAATCCATGTATCATCAGCTAAGATAATTCATGTATCTTGCTTCAGCTAAATTACATATAATGCTAAATAATTAAGGTTAATTATTGAATAATTCAAACAACTGATTCATTTAATAATTAACCAGTAATCAATATTTCGACTTATTATTGAAGTAATTAAAAGCTGACTAATTAATTAGGTAAGTTTTGTGCCGAGTAATTATACTCACCCGGTCTTAACCCGTCGAATAATGAAGCATTGTAGGTTAGTGATGAAGTTAGATTATATAAATCAGTCTTAGGTACCATCTGAATATCATAATTTCGTACATTTAACATTCCTGTATGTGCAATGTTGCTCGTTGAGTGTTTGCAACCTATAAGAATGTTTAGGTGTCTTGCAAATAACTCAACAACATTGTTCATTCTGTTTAATACCATACAAAACATGTATTTGAAAGCCAAATGGTTTCTACAGTATACTAAGCTACATGGAAGAGGAAAATAAACTTCTAGAAGTCGAGACGGGAAGGTAATCAAACACGTAAGCTGTGCAAAATGAGATAATTACACTTGCAAGAAACATTTCAACATTCTTGCAGAACGATGTTGCGCAAGACTGGATTTCGCGTGAGTGTTTTCATTCCAAATGAGCCACTGGGAAATTAGATTCAATCTGCGAACGTGCTCATAAATGATTGCAAAATGTTCAATGCAAGTTGAGGTGTATAAGGCAGGATATGTAGGAGGTGTGTAGCCAGGTGTGTGTCACTGGAGGCTTGGTATGCCATGTATGGTTCATGCAGACAGGTGTATGAGAACCAGGAAGGTTGGTATGCCATGTATGGTCCATGAAGACAGGTATAGGAGAACCAGGAGTGTTGGTATGCCATGTATGGTCCATGAAGACAGGTGTAGGAGAACCAGGAAGGTTGGTATGCCATGTATGGTCCATGAAGACAGGTGTAGGAGAACCAGGAAGGTTGGTATGCCATGTATGGTTCATGAAGACAGGTGTATGAGAACCAGGAATGTTGGTATGCCATGTATGGTTCATGAAGACAGGTGTATGAGAACCAGGAAGGTTGGTATGCCATGTATGGTCCATGAAGACAGGTGTATGAGAACCAGGAGTGTTGGTATGCCATGTATGGTTCATGAAGACAGGTGTATGAGAACCAGGAAGGTTGGTATGCCATGTATGGTCCATGAAGACAGGTGTATGAGAACCAGGAAGGTTGGTATGCCATGTATGGTCCATGAAGACAGGTGTAGGAGAACCAGGAAGGTTGGTATGCCATGTATGGTCCATGAAGACAGGTGTATGAGAACCAGGAAGGTTGGTATGCCATGTATGGTCCATGAAGACAGGTGTAGGAGAACCAGGAAGGTTGGTATGCCATGTATGGTCCATGAAGACAGGTGTATGAGAACCAGGAAGGTTGGTATGCCATGTATGGTCCATGAAGACAGGTGTATGAGAACCAGGAAGGTTGGTATGCCATGTATGGTCCATGAAGACAGGTGTATGAGAACCAGGAAGGTTGGTATGCCATGTATGGTCCATGAAGACAGGTGTATGAGAACCAGGAAGGTTGGTATGCCATGTATGGTCCATGAAGACAGGTGTATGAGAACCAGGAAGGTTGGTATGCCATGTATGGTCCATGAAGACAGGTGTAGGAGAACCAGGAAGGTTGGTATGCCATGTATGGTCCATGAAGACAGGTGTATGAGAACCAGGAGTGTTGGTATGCCATGTATGGTCCATGAAGACAGGTGTAGGAGAACCAGGAAGGTTGGTATGCCATGTATGGTCCATGAAGACAGGTGTATGAGAACCAGGTGTGTTGGTATCCGATGTATATGATGGAGACATCGGGGTCTCTTTCCTCTGATTTATTACCTCTCTTGGTGTGTGCCAAACTGAGCCTCACACAGCTGATTGGACACAACAAAGGTCACGTGTCACAGGGGGGAGGGGGGGAGGGAGGGGCTGAAGGTCGACACGCAGTCCTATACGAGGTGTGGTTCCGTCCGTCCGTCCGCTCCTCCCCCGTCTGTTCCTTTCCTAATTCCTTCCCCTTTTCCCTCCCTCCCTCGCTGCTGCTCGTTGTCACGCGTTCAGTACTGTTAGGTACTCTCTTCCCTCCAGATCAGATGTTGATGATATAGAGGGAGTACAGAGAACATACATAGCCACGCATAGACACAGTATCCGAGAGATTATTGGGACCGTCTCAAAGCGCTCAAAATGTACTCTCTAGAAAGGAGACGAGAGAGGTATCACATATAAATGGAAGATACTAGAGGGCCAGGTCCTAAATTTACACAGTAAAGTACCAACATACTGGAGCAAAGGATGTGGTAGCAAAGGCAGCCAGTGAAGAGTGGAGGTGCCATCGGCGCTGTTTGAACATCAGAGACAAGCAAGACATTTTGCCTGAACAATAATGGATTTCAGAAATTTTTTTTAGACACGTAAGAAGAGGTGGACCAACCAGGTTGTAGTGGATATGTAATCTTGCAGAGCCTCTTGGACCAAATTATCATAAAACAAGCCTGGCCTCATGCCGGGGCTTGGGAACTAGAGGAATTCCCGGATCTCTCTCCAGGTATGATCCAGATCATACCTGGAGTTTGGGGGGGGGGGTTAAGGGGCTAGTATCCACCCCCCTTCACCTCCAAACAGGTGGAGGGGGGGGGGGGGGGGGTAGGGCGGGGGGTAGGCTTTCATACAGTGGTCTGGGATTGCCAAAACGGTGTCTTTACACCCAGATAATTATCACATGTATGCTAAGGTCACCCTCCATCCCACCAAGAACTCATCCCCCCCCCCCCCCCTAGTCCCCACAAGACCTCCCAGATGCCACTATACACACCCAGATGGTCCGCCACAACACCCAGGTGGTCCGCCACAACACCCAGGTGGCTTCCCTTAACCAGACAGAACTCCAGTAAGCACGCAGATGGCTCCTCCACACATGTCCAGATTGTGACCTCGCACTTCCAGATGGCTCTACACGTCCAGATGGTCCATCTACACGTTCAGATGGTCCATCTACACGTTCAGATGGTCCATCTACACGTTCAGATGGTCCATCTACACGTTCAGATGGTCCATCTACACTTTGTTAAAACGTTGTAATATAATACGTTGCGGGAATGTTGCATGGAGGTCTGCCATCACCTTTGGTGTCCAAGAAAAACAGGTTTCCTTGGACACCAAAGGTGACCTTCTACAAAAATGACAACGAATCTTGGTAGTGTGAATTCGCACTACCAAGATTCGTTGTCGGGGAAGCTCTGGGAAGAGACTAATGTACACGCCGCATAGGAAACTATTTTAATTTTCCTTTTTTCCTCCGTTGATTGCTGGTCTTCAGAGGTTAATTTCTTAGACGCCAGACACAAGACGAGGAGAAGAACAAAGAGAGAACAAATGTATATAAGTGTCTCAAGACAAGAGTGTTTTGGAGAGTTTTAAAACATCTCACAAACACACCGTGGGAGACTGTGTCCTCTACCGTGTCCCGCACACGGTACCTGGCTCCCACGCTCTCCCCTCTCTTATATATATATATATATATATATATATATATATATATATATATATATATATATATATATATATATATATATATATATATATATATATATATATATATATATATATAATAGCCATAATATATATTCTCATATATATATATTCATATATATATATATATATATATATATATATTTTCATATATAATGTTTATTCGTCGTACCTAATAGCCAGACCTAACTTCTCAGCCTACTAACCAAGGCCCGATTTGCCTAATAAGCCACCCTGAATTAATATATTTACTATAATTTTTTTCTTATGAAATGATAGGCAACCCTTTTCTTAGGTATGAGGTCAATTTTTTTTATTGGTTAAAATTGACGTAGATATATCCGAACGTTACCAACCCTACCTAACCTCCTAACCTATATTTATAGGTAAAGGTTAGAGCCAAAAAAAGCTAGAGAAAAGGTTAGGTAGGTTAGGTAGACGAAAAAACAGTAAATATATTATTCATGAAAACTTGGCTTATTAGGCAAATCGGGCCTTGAATAGTAGGCTGAGAAGTGAGTTCTGGCTATTAGGTACGACATATATATATATATATATATATATATATATATATATATATATATATATATATATATATATATATATATATATATATATATATATATATATATATATATATATATATATATACAGTTTCCATCGTCTGTGGACAGTGCTAGAGATGCTTTAGACGCTGTTGTGTGGTACTGAGCACTACAACCACACATGACTGTAGTGCTCCTACAGTGCTGACCAGTATATATATATACAGCCTGGGTACTGTGCAGCGGGTTTGTTTAAGCACAGGGAATTGTGAAGGGAGGGGGGCGCATGCTTGCCCTACCAGGAAGTAACTGCAGGAGACGTAATCACTCTCTGTGACAGACCCGTGACTGTGTGCCGCTACTCTCTCTCTCTCTAGACACACACACATACTACAGGGGCCGGTGGCTAACTGGACAGCACGCTAGACGCGTGATCCTGTGATCCCGGGTTCGATTCCCGGTGCCAGCGAGAAACAATAGGCAGGGTTTCGTTCACACTGATGCCTCTGTTACCTAGTAGTAAATAGGTACCTGGGAGTTAGTCAGCTATCACGGGCTGACTAACTTCTGACTTCCTGGTGTGTGTGTGTGTGGCGTGGGAAAAAATAGTAGTTAGTAACAGTTGATTGACAGTTGAGAGGCGGGCCGAAAGAGCAGACCTCAACCCCCGCAAGCACAACTAGGTGAATAAAACTAGGTGTATACACACAGGCCTCAGCATTTTCAAGAGTAATAAGAGGGACATGATAACGACATATAAGATTCTAACTAGAATTTGCAAAATAGACCAAGGAAACAAAGTTCAGAGTTTAGCTTTATATAGCTGTCAGTCTCCAGGCTATTGTCTTGACCTAACTGTACTGCATAGCTTTGTCTTGGCAATCGATCTCACTTCACTGTACCAAACAGTTACTTAATTGCTGTAACCTAACCTAACTATCAGCGTGACCTAACTGATTGTAGCTTTTTTCAATGTTAAATCGACATCACTTTTAATTTGTATAATGGATGGACAACTTGGGCGGCCTTGATTCTTGCAAGATCGGCGTTCGATCCCCAAAGATCCAAGTGGTTGGGCACCGTGCCTATAACTCGTTCTCTTATCCCAATAGACTTGAACACATATTCCAGCACCTTTCCCCTCACATCACTTCCAAATGCTATATTGTCATATTGGCTTATTACTTTCTCCTCATAGTTACCTTACCTTCCAATCTCCTTCCTATCGGCCAGATCTATTTGTGCAAAACTGTGGTGCACCTGGCTATCGACATGACACAGGTGTCGAACACATGACACAGGTGTCGAACGCATGACACAGGTGTCGAACACATGACACAGGCGTCGAACACATGACACAGGCGTCGAACACATGACACAGGCGTCGAACACATGACACAGGCGTCGAACGCATGACACAGGTGTCGAACACATGACACAGGTGTCGAACGCATGACACAGGTGTCGAACACATGACACAGGCGTCGAACACATGACACAGGTGTCGAACGCATGACACAGGTGTCGAACGCATGACACAGGAAGTCGAACACATGACACAGGTGTCGAACACATGACCAAAGAGCCAGAGCCCACCTATATGTCGCTGTCGAATACTCCACATTCGACGTGACCCTACGAGAGCAACTGTCGATCATAACATAATCAAAATACGTCCGTTAAGTGGTGTTAATTCTGGCTATAACGACGTTATTTGACTCTTAACAAGTTACGATATCTCACTCTTTAAGATGTTGACCTTCGTAAGAGCCGGCGTACGATCATGATGGTAGTTGACCAACCCAAGCTAATGGCTGACCTCAGTCGTACATCAGACCAGCATGATTGGTCAAGCATAACCCATCAGATGAGCAGGAATGGCCAATCACACAGGAGAATCAAACCAGCAACACAGTACAGTATAGTCTGGTTAGTGCCCTGAGCCCCCGAATTCCAGGTCAGCTGTTCAAAGAGGTCATCGTTTGACCCGGCTTCCCTTCGGCTACTGGCTAGTAACCAGGTCAGGTGATTGTTGGCTCCCTTAACGACACTGGGTTTGCTCGCTAACTGGCCAATCATCGAAGCTTAGTCAATGAATTATCTCGCTAACTGGCCAGTCATCGATAAATGGTCACTTAATTAAGTAACTGGTCAATCACCGTCATTAAAAGTTTATTATGTTTCCAGAAGCGATGGTTATGTGGGGGGGGGGGAGGGTATGCGCAGGCTGGAGTGGGCATGTGTGGGAAATGGGGCCGGTGAGGAAAGGGGTAGTGGGCAGGACGGGGTAGTGGGCAGGACTGGGTAGTGGGCAGGACGGGGTAGTGGGCAGGACGGGGTAGTAGTGGGCAGGACGGGGTAGTGGGCAGGACGGGGTAGCGAGTATAACGGAGCCAGACAGGAAAGGAACACTTTCTCTTTCAATAATACCTTCCCCCGTCGGGGTCACCAAACACGCTGAATAACTCTCTTTAACTTGCTCATTATCGTCGCGAATTGCAAACACGGATGGATCTAAATCACTTTAATTGCTGTAATTAACAAGTCCCTATTTCGACCCCATAATTACTGTTGGCATATTTTGGCGGAAGAATTCTTAGCAACCCTTCAGAAACAAAAGCCAGTTTTGGCGGGAAACGCTGCATCAATCCTTGTAAACAAAGCGGGAAAAAGCTGCGTCAACCCTTGTAAACAAAGCCAGTTTTGGCGGGAAAAGCTGCGTCAACCCTTGTAAACAAAGCCAGATTTGGCGGGAAACACCGAGTCAACCCTTGTAAACAAAGCCAGTGTAAGCGGGACGGGTGTGATAAACCACCACATAACTGAGCTACAGTGAGGGGGTATTAAGTTCTGGACACAAGACCGACTCATAAAACTTGATTTAAAAGAGAAAGTAAGTTTATAGCAGTGGTGAACTTGGGTACCTGACGCGTCCTCGGAGCGGCAGGAGGGGGGCTTGCAGGTTTGCATGGGGATTGCAGGTTTGCATGGGGATTGTAATGGATCTTGCATGGTGAGTGTTTGCCCCTGATGGAAACCAAAGCCACCCGATATGAAGGTTTCTCTTATCAATGATTGTTAAAACGTGGAATTTGGGGGTTTAGATAAAACACTGATTTTCCATATTTAGAATTGCATTACAATAAATAAAAGATCTAAATTGAAATAATCAAAATATAATACAAAGTTAACCTAATAATCTTCTTTAAATTATGAGAGAGAGAGAGAGAGAGAGAGAGAGAGAGAGAGAGAGAGAGAGAGAGAGAGAGAGAGACTGTTGAAGAGAATTATTAGAGAACAATTTAGTGGATTATTCATTTGTTAAGGACCCCAGGAACTGAACTTTGATAAAGTAAGACTAAGAGTCTATGATAGATTTTACTGCAGAAGATCTTACTAGATCTTACGTAGATCTTACCTAGATCTAGCATGGATGATTAGTTCTGTCTTCCCTAAGCTGACCTAGCAGCTTTAATCCTCCAATCCTTCAATTAAGCCTCAACCCCTGATTATGGCGTGTCTCCGTGTCAATCCTTTTTCGTGACTGACTAGGAATTCCGTCCGTGCCAATGGTCACGGTGGGAATGTGGTGGTGGTCACTTCCATAGACCCCAGCGTTCATGAAGTGACAGGTGCGTGTCTGGGGCACGTGTCAGCCCCCACTTGGGTACTGGGGCTGGGCAGTACCCACACACTGGGTATTCTTACCATTCTTTATCCATTAATTTACATTCTCAAAATGACTCTAAACTCCCCATATCTCCTTTCCCCATCCCGGTATTAATCCTTTCCCCCATTTTGCATATTCCCCACTATCTCCATCAGCTGTCTATCCAGTCCCATACATCCCCCATCCCTCATACAACTACAGCGAGCCTCTAGGTAGTGTAGACGCGTCAGAACGCAGGTGCTGACACTAATACACCATACAGCTGTATGCTAGCCGCCCTATAATACAATCGCTTTAACTGGTATAGTAAATAGTCAACTCTCAAAGAAATTGTGGTTAACAGGATGAGGTTACAGTCAAAGAAGGTTAACGAACTGGTGAGGTGAGTGACTGGGATGCTGTCTGCCAGAGTCTGTGGATAACTGACTGTGACTTTCTGATTGGCTGGCTGGCCGGTTGGTTGACTGGGCGGCCGGCTGTAGCGACCGGTAGAGTGGGTGGGTGGCAACAGACTGCTTGGATATCTTGTAGTGGGTGCTTGAGGGGGCTGGGGGAGTGTGTGTGTGTGTGTGTGTGTGTGTGTGTGTGTGTCTTGAGACGCTAACTCACTAACTCTCACTTTCAACAACCTACCTTTCCCTCAGATGCTTCCCCCTCCCCCCCCCCACACCCTCACTCCCCCCCCCACACCCTCACTCCCCCCCCCCACGCCCTCACCCCCTCCCCACGCCCCCACCCCCTCCCCACGCCCTCACCCCCTCCCCACGCCCCCACCCCTCCCTCACCTCATCCCTTATTCATCCTCCTCCTCACTATCTCCGTATACCTGGTTACAGTTTTAAATAAACTTGTCCAACTGTGATGAAACCGGTTCTCAACTCTACACACACACACACACACACACACACACACACACACACACACACACACACACACACACACACACACACACACACACACACACACACACACACATATATATATATATATATATATATATATATATATATATATCACTAATTGAGACAATGGGGTACCTTGAACCAGCATACAAAAGAAAGACTTAAGTCTCTCAAGAGCAATTGGAGTCTTTATGCCTTGAGTAAGATGAGGTAAAGCACTCATACATCTCTCAAATTTATTATACAGTAATACTGTACTCTAATATATTCTAAACCACCCTGATACAGTAGCATACAAGTCCTAGGCATGCAATTCATAGTATTGAAGGGCAATGTGATAGATTACAATGCAACATGCCCTTGGGCCTAAAACCTCACCATACCTAAGTAATATATTAAGATACGTGCAGAATAATGATATACAATAAATGCAGTATAATGCAATATTCACAAAACGACACCGTAAAATACAATATGATACATTTCATACAGATCAACACAGTGCAATGCAATACTAAACAAAAATACACAAAACAATACAGACTAATAATAGACAATATAATATATTAATACAATACATGAACACAATACAATACATTAATACAATACATGAACACAATACAATACATTAATACAATGCAAATGGTGGCGCAATACACGTTTAGACCCTTCGTAAACTTTCAGATTACAGAAGGCCAACGGCCGGATACAAAAAACTGTAGTTACTGACCATCGGAACAGTGGCAGCAGAAGCAAAAATGGTGTTTCGGATTGATTCGGATATGGCGTAGTAACCCTTCAAGTATCCGGATGAGCGGGAGAGAATTGTTTATAACCTTGATAATGTCTTTCGGATAAGCGGACTGTTCGGGTTAGAAGACTGTGTGTGTGTGTGTGTGTGTGTGTGTGTGTGTGTGTGTGTGTGTGTGTGTGTGTGTGTGTGTGTGTGTGTGTGTGTGTGTGTGTGTGTGTGTGTGTGTGTGTGTGTGTGTGTGTAATACTGACTATCATGAGAAATTCGGTTTAAGCCGTAAAGAGGATTCGAACCGACAACTGATGCTAATCTTAGCGTGAAGGACCTAGCAGTGATGGGGCCAGTGACCTCTCCTGCGGTGCCCTTCCAAGTTGAAGGAAGTGGGAGGGGTCGGTGGAATGGGAGATGTGGGAGGGTATTGGAGGGGGTGGGAGAGATGGTATGGAACAGGAGACACTGGAGAAAATAGTGGATAAGGCGTGGAATGGAAGGGAGAAGAGAGACAGGGGATAGTTCTTACAAGAATGTAAGAACTCTTGTGTGTATATATATGTATATATGTATATATATGTATATATATGTATATATGTATATATATGTATATAAAGGTGTGGGAGGTGGAGGGCTGGCCTTCAATGGCCAGTTTGGAGGAGGGACTCCGCATGGACTCTCACTTTCTGGTCGGCTGCCTGATGCTGGCTCCATCACCACCATCACTATCACCATCATCACCATCACTATCACCACCATACCCATCACTACCACCACCATTACCGTCATCACCATCTCCATCCAACATATTACACTGTAATGTTTCACTGTAACGTTCAGTGTACCATATTAATGTACACTGTTTTCACTCTCTTCCATTTTGCTCATGTGCTGCACTGTATTCCGTTTCTGGGTCTAGTGTTGCGTTTCAGTGTTTCTTTGCAGTGTCTTCTGTTTCACTGTTCCATTAAGCTGTGTAACGTTTTATTGCTTCTTCGTATTCTTTTACCATCTCAATGTTTAGCTTTGTCCTTTTCTTTCATGTCTGTGTTCTTTGTTTCTTTTTTCTTTTTATCATTGCGGTGTTTCACTGTTCGTTTACAAAACATTCCGGTTATTTGTATTTTTACACTGCTGTAATTAACTGCGTTCCCACTCACTGTTCTGCTACAATGTA